CATCACTCTTGCCTGCCCAGGTCTCGGCAGCTGAGCTGACTCCCTGCCGAGGCTCCCAGGGTGGTTTCGGAACAGAGGAAGGGATGAGGAAGGGTGTGCTGCAGAAATCTATTTTATTTATTGCAAGCCTCCAGCTTCGTAACAGCAGCCTGACTTCTCCAAAATAAAAGGCTGCCGTGCCACACTTAGAGGCAGCTCGGCGAGTGATTAAAAAAATACTAGACTTTCTTTTCTTTTAAAGTTTGAGGCCTCTAGCAAGACAGGTTCCCAAGGTGGGTTGGCAAAATATCTCCAGTAATCTTCAGCTTGGAGCCCCACGGTCTCCAGGTAATTAAAGAATGGGTCCTTCCTCAATGCTTGAGAAACTCACACAGAGAGGAAAAAGCCACAAAATTGCCACTGCAGAAACTCAGGCTAACCCCACCTTGGAGAAAGCAGTGTTTCAATCTGCCATAGCTCCTGGGCATTTCTGGCATCAGAGAGAGAGATGGGTCAGGTATCTGCCAGGGCCACAAGATGACTGAAGGAAGAAAACCCTGAGGGGGAATGGAAAGAGGGGATCGCAAAGCTGCACTAGTAGCAATTGAGCATCTTAAAAAGCAGAGACATCACCTTGCCAACAAAGGTCCGTATAGTTAAAGCTATGGTTTTCCCAGTAGTGATGTATGGAAGTGAGAGCTGGACCATAAAGAAGGCTGATCGCCGAAGAATTGATGCTTTTGAATTATGGTGCTGGAAGAGACTCTTGAGAGTCCCATGGACTGCAAGAAGATGAAACCTATCCATTCTGAAGGAAATCAGCCCTGAGTGCTCACTGGAAGGACAGATCCTGAAGCTGAGGCTCCAATACTTTGGCCACCTCATGAGAAGAGAAGACCCTGATGTTGGGAAAGATGGAGGGCACAAGGAGAAGGGGACGACAGAGGACAAGATGGTTGGACAGTGTTCTCGAAGCTACCAGCATAAGTTTGACTAAACTGCGGGAGGCAGTGGAAGACAGAAGTGCCTGGCATGCTCTGGTCCATGGGGTCACGAAGAGTCGGACATGACTACACGACTAAACAACAAACAAGTAGCAATTGATTGTAAGCCAACTCTGTAGGACAGGGGTCCCCCAAACTGGCACCTGCCAGCACCTCATAAGATCTCAGTAAATGTTGCCTCAAAAATCTGCAGTGTTCAGGGCCTTTTTTTCAGATGGAACTTGCAGCTCACTTCCAGCACCTCAGGTGGGCGCAGTTGCCATCCTATGTCCTTTGAAAATGTGTTGGCTTTTTGCCACACACAAGAAGGAGAGAGTTTGAATGCCTCATCTATAGGTGTATAAATCATTTAATGTGTCAATACAAATGGAAGTCATTAAAACTGCAGCTGCGATTGTTAAAACCAGGAACCTAAACTGTATAATTTGGCATCTCAATGATTGGTATTACTCATTGTATTATAATTTGGTATTGTTATAATGAGGCTGATATTGGATTGTTGAAATTGAAAACTAATAGAAATTATTATCAAAAATAAAATGTGGGGTTTTGGGGTGGGGGGCGTTATTGTGTTTTTGTTTTGATTATGTATTTTGTGGTTTTAATGTTTTAATTTTATTCTGTGAACCACCCCGAGACCTTTGGGCATAGGGCGGTATAAAAATTCAATAAATTATAATAAGAGAACAAGAGAAGCATTCATGGTGAGTTTCGGCACCTCTTTTTCTGGAAAAAGAGCAGTGATGCCGTTTTGTGTCCCTTCCCACTTTTCTGCTCTCTCAGGTGTGGCAGCCATTTTATGCTATGCCACACACCCCACGGAAGCCATTTGGTGAGTGGCACCCAGACATCCACCAAATGCCAAATGTTATCCACTGGCCCGAATAGTTTGCTAACCTCTGTTCACAGGGAGAGCTGTGAATCAAAGAATGTAAAATGAGCCCTGCAGGAGCAAACCAAAGGTCCATCTAGCCCCAAATCCTGCTTCACACAATAACCAACCAGATGCCTCTAGCAAGCCCACATGTAGACCGTGAGTGCAATAATACTCCCTTATTGTTGACTCTATGCACGCACGCACACACACGGTTGATAGGCAATACTCAATTCCAGGGTGTCCCAAACTTGAGCCTCCAGCTGTTTCTGGACTACAACTCCCATCATCCCTACCTAGCGGGACCAGTGGTCAGGGATGATGGGACTTGTAGTCCAAAAACTGCTAGAGACCCAAGTTTGGGAAACTTATTCCTTCTGAATAAGAAGGTTCTCTTTAGCTATTATGGTGAGCAGCTGCTGATAGCCCTTCTCCTTCTCCACAAATTTATTCAAGCTCCTTTTAAACCCATCTAAACGCGCGGTTGTGACCATGTCTCAGGTCACGAGCAACATTAAAAGCACTTAAAGTATCAGTATGATGCTAGTTGAAAAGGAAAGATGCTCATATTTTAGGAACTCTAAAATGTCATTAAAAAAATCAATGCTAAAAGAATGAAACGGCAATGCCTCTGAACAGGCTAAACAACTTTTTAAAAAATTGATATATATATATATATTTTAAGTTGCAGAAAATAACAATACAGTGGAACCTTGGTTCTTAAACGGCTTAGTTGACGAACAAATTAGCTCCCAAATGCAGAAAACCCGGAAGTAAGTGTTCCCGTTTTTAACGTTTTTCGGAAGCCAAGCGTCCAACGCGGCTTCTGCTTGAGTGCAGGAAGCTCCTGCAGCCAATCGGAAGCTGCGCCTTGGTTTTCGAACATTTCGGGAGTCAAACAAACTTCCGGAACGGATTAAGTTCAAGAACCAAGGTACCACTGTATATGACAATCCAGTGTCCATTGACAAACACCAGATTTAGAGTAAAACAAAGAAAAGTAACGGGACGTATTGTTAGTCCTATTCAGAGTAGATGCGTTGAAATATATGGATGACTTAGGCCATATTCACACTGTACATTTAAAGCACTATCATTCCACTTTAAGCAGTCATGGCTTCCTCCGCACCCAAATTTTGGGAGGTCTAGTTGGTTAAGGGGGCTGAGAGTTGTTACAAGACCCCTAGTTTCCTCAGAGTTACAGTTCTCCAAGTGATTTAACAACCAATCCCTCTTGCCAGGGAATTCTGTGAGAACAGGGACCTCCTAACAACTCTCAGCACCCGTAGCAAACTACAATTCTCAAGAATCTTGGTGGGGGGACCATGACTGTTTAAAGAGGAATGGTGCTATTTTAAGCCTATGGTGTTAATGTGGCCCTAGGTACATTTATTTTAATAGGTCTACTCTTGAGAAGTACTAACTCTGGATACAACCTGTCATTTTTAACCCATCCATAGAATTATGTTTTTGGCAAAGGGGAGCACTATTTTGCCTTTTGCTTCGGGCATCAAGATGCCTTGGGCCAGCCCTGTTCAAAATGCACAGAGACTTTATAAATACTCACAGTGCACAGAGGCTGCAGGCACCGCAAGAGGACGTTCAATTTGTTGTCAGTGGCGGCTGGTGCCCATTAGGATTGGTAGGGCAGAAGGCAGAGAGACTGACAAATAGGCGACGTGGGTGGCACTGTGGGTTAAACCACAGAGCCTAGGACTTGCCGATCAGAAGGTCAGTGGTTCGAATCCCCACAACGGGGTGAGCTCCCATTGCTCGGTCCCTGCTCCTGCCAACCTAGCAGTTTGAAAGCACGTCAAAGTGCAAGTAGATAAATAGGTACCGCTCCGGCGGGAAGGTAAACGGCGTTTCCGTGCGCTGCTCTGGTTCGCCAGAAGCGGCTTAGTTATGCTGGCCACATGACCCGGAAGCTGTACGCCGGCTCCCTCGGCCAATAAAGCGAGATGAGTGCTGCAACCCCAGAGTCGGCCACGACTGGACCTAATGGTCAGGGGTCCCTTTACCTTTACAGCCAATGACAGATGAAGCCCAATGCTTCTAGATTTGTCCCTGTCCTTTCACTGTGGAGTTCTGCAAGGACAACATTGAGAGTGAGGAGAAGGAACTTGATAGTCAGGGGCACCCCCTGGACTGGGTGTAATAAGGCAGGCAGGTGGGAGCTGGAAAGCCAAGGCTGGTGGGGCAAAACCCCATTTGCCCTAATTAGATCGGGTTCCTGTTTGCTGCCCCACCTCTTCCAAGTTAAGAGAACTCACTGAAGTAATCTTTGCAAAGGCCTCTAAAATTCCCTGTATTCTAGAGCCAACAGATACTTGGGAAAATCAAGTCACAGAGAGGGCAAAACGGAAGGCATTAAATTTGGAACTGTTGCTGGAGTTGCAAGTGTATTGAACCTCCTCCAACCCTATAAATTTTGCAGTCCAAATATGTTACAGTTTGCTTCCACGATCCAAGTGTAGAGGAAGTATCTCTTTGCCATCTGCGAAATGGAATTTTGAATTTTGTTAAAACATTTATATTTGAATTGTGGAATAATGATTTTTTAAAATATTTTTTTGCCATTTCCATTGAGTACCACAATATTGCCTTATGATGGGCTACTAAAGAGTTGGGGAACCACCAGTCAAATCTAAAGTCTTCTCCCTGGCAACTTCAGCCCATCATCTGCTCCTTATCTTCCAGGTGCTTTAAAAAAGTACTAAAACTCAGAACATCTATCAAAAGAGATGGGAAGACAGACAGGTCTTGAATGTGCCCGGAAACCGGAATAGGTGAGAAATCCAATTAAAGCCAATTCTGTTTGCCTGTCCCAAACAGAACTGTGCAAAAAGGAAGCGGCTTTCACCCTATTCACATATAAGTGACAGCAATCTCTCTCTCTCTCTCTCTCTCTCTCTCTCTCTCTCTGTGTGTGTGTGTGTGTACATGCAACAGGTATCACACTTGAGACTGTTATGCCCAAAGGAGAAAGGCTGTTTTGCCGCAAGAGGGTTTTCTCAATTAACCTAAAGCCTCTCTAATTCTTCTACATGAGACAGCTGTCTGTACTGTCTATTGTGCTGCGCTAGCCTTGCCAGGAGGTGTGTGCATTTAAGAGCACACAGCTTAAACATACAACAGATTCGTTGATTCTTGGACTCTTTTATTTAGCGAAGAGGCAAATACGCACACAAATGGGATCCTCGCTCTGCAAACGTGAAACAAACACTGAACAAATTCTTCGTCCAAGGCAGTAATCTTGACACAGGGATAAAAACACCATCTCCAGCACTCACAAGTCCACAAGAAAGCGAGCAACCTGGGAGTGGTACTTGGGTTTCAAGTAGTCCGCCAGCTCCCCTTTGCTGACCCAGACGTAGTCCACTTTCTCACTGGCCAAGGGCAAATGGCTGCCCTCCAGGAGGGCTTTGAAGAAGAAGACCTTGGCTCCCATGCCGTCTTCTGTCTGGGCCGCCTTGGGGAACTTGTACTTGTAAAAGCCGCATGGCGCATTGCCTAGGAACTTGGCCTCCGTGTGGGTTCCTTGGAGGTTCAGGAGTCAGGCAGGAAAAAAAACAAGGGAGGAAACATATTTGTAAGATCAGGTGATACAGAGACAGTAGAATATACCTGGTGATGAATAATTTTGCCCCTGCACCCCATTTTAAGGTGTCTGTCTTTGGCTGGAATATATAGACCCTGCCACCAACTGCCTCAAATATGCTGAATAATATTTAGCATTTGTACAGCATGCTGAAAGTGCTTCACACACAAGATCCACAAACTGTCTGTTCCCAAACTTATTTGGCCTACTGCCCCATTTTCAGGAAAAATATATATATTACTCAGTGCCCCCCTGGAAATCTACTTTCTTTAAGCAAACAAACAGAAAGATGCAATGACAAATGTATGTTATTTTATGTATCTTTATTTCTACCTACGTCCTACAACATAGTAAAGATGTTGTTGTAAATAAAGACACCTTGAAGCTTGAAATTATAAAATTATTTATTAAAATCAAGCATAGTAACATTTAACTCTGTTACACCGGTAAGCGTCATTACACAAAAGATGAAACACTTCCAAACGGCTTTTCAAAATTTTCTTCTTTCTTTATGCTTCCACTGCCCCCTTATTTTTATCCAATGCCCCTCAACTGCACCCGAGGCTACTACTGCCCAATATAATCCACTTTGGGAAACATAGGTCTGGAACTTCCCTTCTCTATAAAGTTTCCTGCTCTCTCTCCCCCCACAAACCCCCACTGGGCCCAGCAGTAATTTAAGAGATAAGATTGGTAACAAGTTCCCTGTCCCAAGAGGCTTGCAATCTACCAAAAAATTGTGATAAATAAGACACAAGGGAGGATAGAGAAAGGGAAGGGAAATAGAGCTACCGATCAACAGGGGAAGATTGTGAGAGTGTTTCAGATACGCACACCTTAATCACTGACCTGAGAGAGAGGCTAAGGCCCGTTCTGCTGTGGCTCGCAGAGTCTCCCCTTCTTGCCACTCTGTTTGAGGCAGGAGCCAAATGTCTTGGTCCCCAAGCTTCTGCTTAACCAGGAGCAGAAGGTTCTGGTCTAACTTCCTGTTCAAAGATGTCCGGTCATTTTTCTTGTCAGCCTCTGCCAAAGAAAGAAGCCACGAGTCAAAGGAATTCAGCCAGCCAGTGATGAATGGGATTCCCAGAAGTCTTTGCTGAAAAGGCCACATGAAACCATGTCAAGTAGCAACACTCAGTTCAGGTTGCCTAGAAAACACGCTAGGAAGAGTTTGGAGGCCGCTTGCAACCTGAACAGCATACATCATATTTTGCACCTTCGGGTGACAAGCAGAATTGCGTATTCCCCCCACCTCTCTTTTTATTTTAAAAAAGGTCATTGAAGTAGTTTGGTGTCTAATCTTATTAGACTTATTAAAATTGGCTTTTAGTTTGTAGGGCTCAGACAAAAATACCTGCAGGGGGGTGCACAGATTCTGAAGTGTGTGACCTTTTGGCAACGTCTACCTCTAAAAATAAACTGCCCTTCTTTCCCCCGCTCAATTCACAAAATCATTTAAGGCAGAGAAGCTGGATTTAGCCAAATTTAACACTGTTTGTTTCAAACAGAGAGCTTGAATGTGAGCATTCCACTTCTAATTGAAGAGTGGGCAGCTGGATGCTCAATGGAGGGTTGCAAATAGCCACTTGCCAGCTGCCTGTGGAGAACAGGAATTGCCTCCAGGTGAACAAGTGGAGGAATCATGACCACGTTGGTTCTTATGCCACATCTGATTATTACATGGGCTCAATTGGGACGCGGGTGGCACTGTCGGTTAAACCACAGAGCCTAGGACTTGCCGATCAGAAGGTCGGCAGTTTGAATCCCTGTGACGGGGTGAGCTCCCGTTGCTCAGTACCTGCTCCTGCCAACCTAGCAGTTCGAAAGCACGTCAAAGTGCAAGTAGATAAATAGGTACCGCTCCAGCGGGAAGGTAAACAGTGTTTCCGTTCGCTGCTCTGGTTCGCCAGAAGTGGCTTAGTCATGCTGGCCACATGACCCGGAAGCTGTACACCGGCTCCCTCAGCCAATAAAGCGAGATGAGCGCCGCAACCCCAGAGTCGGCCACGACTAGACCTAATGGTCAGGGGTCCCTTTACCTTTTTAACATGGGCTCAAGCTATTGTTTTCTTAAGGAAAGCGGAGAAATTAAAGGATTCCTTGCTCTGCTGATAGGATGAAAATCAAAACAGGAGCATTAAGCATCAAAGACTCATTTCTGTGTCCCTTTTTGAACAGGGGGGTAGAAAACTTTAAATGTCTTTATAAACCATACCTTTCCTCAGTACTTTGGGAGAGGTGTGTGTGTTTGCTGTACTCTTTTGAGCACCTGCTTTAAAACATTTTGTTTAATTTTTTAAAAAACTTTTTTTCCAAATTTTAGTATTTCTGATAAATCCTGCAGAGGTTTAACTAGAATCAGGCAATATATAAATGTTGTTTAATTCATTAATCATTTGGAAGTGATATCATTGGGCTCTACTGTTTCCTGTAAAGAACACAACACTCCCTGTGGACACAATCCAGTTTCTCTTACTAAAAATATAGTTAATTAAAGCCTCTCCCTTCCTAGCACACTGCCCTGTATTTTATTCTCACCAGATTAGAATTAATCCAAGCCTAGTTAGAACCAAGTATCCCCAACAACAGGGCTAAGGGACCTTTTTGGACCAGAGGGCTATGTCCTTATCTGGCCCCACCCCATGGGCCCACTTTGGACAGGTGAGTGGGACAAAACACCTGTCAATCACCTTGTCATCATGCCATCAGATGGGCAAGGCAACCCACCTGCCAGCCATCTGATGTCCTTATGCCATTGGCTAATTGACATGTGGCCTCTCCCACCCCCTGTCAAAGTCCGCTGCACAGAGCTTCCCAAGCACCCAAAAATGGGCACTCGGAAACTGCAGCACAAGCGGCTTTGCTGCTCCTGTAGCAGCCAAGTGGTTTGCACTGAAACTGCTGCTAAACCAGTGGTCTTCCCAACTCTGTTTTAGCAGCAGTTTCAATGCATACTAGTTGGTGCTACTGGAGCAATATGCTCCTGTCTGTCCTGCCCATCAGCTGAAACAAGTCTTACTCCAGCAAAGTAACAACCCAGAGCTCACTTTCAGCTGACATATGTTAGCGGGGAGGTGGCTGCAGCATAAGGAAAATTCCCTGCCAAGCCAAAGGGGGAGGTCTGATGGGCCAAGTCTGGCCTTCAGACTGGAGGCTCCCCTACCGCTGCCCAACAACACCCCAATGAGGTAGGTGGAGGATGTTGGGAATCTGTGTACGTGCAGCTACTCACACAGAGTCAATTAAGGTTTGGCAGACAGCCAGAAAGCAATCTGCAGGAGTAAGTCTGCCTGGTGATAAGAGAGACATGGAGACCGCTCCCTGATTGATCAAGCTCTCTCAAGGGAGTGATACTTAATGGCCTACTAACTGGAATGCGTTAATTCAGTGTTTGTGTTCAGAGTTCTCTGTCAGTGTAGGAGTTGTGAGTCGTATCACAGAGAGCTAGCAAAAGATTCGTGTTCTGTTCCTGTAAATAGTCCACTGTATATAATAAACACCTAACTACAAGTTCCTGGTTCCTGCTTCGTCTATCCTGTCTGCAGCCAAGTCGCCAATTGCTTCCGTGGATTCTGCGTGTACTCTGCTAGGTCTGGCTAAGGTCCTGCAACTAGTCAGAAAGTTGCGAAACACCAAATAGGTTTTGCCAAATAGGTTGGGCTTGAACCTGTTATCCGTGGGGCAGGATTGAACTTCCGGAATTTCTGTTCCCACAAGTCTTCCACATCTTGAATCAGCACGATCTCCTGCCCAGCGTCGTCATCGTCTTTTTTCCTCCGCAAACGCTCCTCCTCTGCAAAGCGGCGGAGTTCGTGGTCTGAATAGAGGCTTTTCTCCATCTCGACCTGGCAAAGCAAAATAAATAGAAAACTGTCCGATCCGGACCCCAGCCAGCAGGCTTCTGCAAATCACTTTCCTGAGTGCTGCATTGTTTAAGACGAGGTGGGGAATTCGTGGTCCTCCCACTCTCATCAAGTATGGCAAACGGTCTGAGATTATGGGGAAAGCCGTCCAGCAACATCTGGAGGGCCACATGTTCCAAGATGTGCAAGAAAGAGATTTTTGATTTCAGCATGCAAGATACAACACCAGTAACACAAGATGTAGCATGTTGAACAGAATCCAGGGAACCTCAGTCACCCGCCCCCCCCCAAAAAAACCACACCTTGTCCCTTGAGTGGTAATTGTGAAAATTACCTCTTACAAAGATTAGATGGGTTAATTGTTACGCTGAAGTTTTTTAGCCTTGTTGCTATCAGCCAAAGGCCCTCCAAACACAAGGCACCCAAAATCTTTTATTTCACCTCCCCTTCCTCAGACATCCAGCCCTTATTCATATCTCACTAAACTGAACTCTGCCGCACGATGAAGTCAATTCTAGAGTGGCTTTCAGAAACAATCATGCAGGAAGCAGGCAGGATCTGCTCTGTCCTCCTTCTCCCACACTAGCAGCTGCTTCCAGCTGCTGGAACCACATGGAAGAACAGGCACTAGAAATCACCAGCCCCTTGGGAGCCCCATCTGCGCAGCTTCATCCTCCCCTTCACTATCTGGATTCACTCACCGGGACTTAATTTGACTCAGCTCAAGTGTCTGCCTTTCAGAGCATCTTTCTCGCTCCACTGAATCTCATGATAATTGTTTGTACATTTATCCTCCCCTTCCTCTTATTTATTTAAGATATATGTGGGAACCTTTGGTTCTCCAGCCATTGTTGAACTACAGCTCCCATCAGTCCCAGCAAGCATGACCAATGGGCAGGGTTGGTGGGAACTGTAGTTCAGCAGCATCTGGAGTTTTCCACACCTGAATTAAGGCTATACCCAACTACACAGAATATACCCATTGAATCTAATGGACTCAACTTACTCGTGCCCATTGTTTTTAATGGGTCTACTCTGAGTTAAATAGGAATATAGCCCTAATTGGTTAAATTTCTGTTCCACTTTTCATCCCAAAGAAGTCCCAGGCAGTAAAACAACAGATTTGTTTTTTTTAAAGGGTGGAACTCTGCCCAAGACCCTGGATAGCTGCTGCCTTTTTAAGAGTAGGCAATGCTGGAGTGCAACCTTTATTTTTTTATGATTGTTTTTTATTAAATTTGTATATCACCCTTCGTTTGAAAATCATAGGACAGTTATAAAACGGTAGAGTAAATAAATGCATAATTCCTTAGACATGGTATAATAATTTTCCATATTATCTTTTAGATAAAGATAATGCGACCTCTAAATTCCGAACATCAGACCACTGCATGTGAACACCAGTTACTGGGTTGGAGGGACAAACCAGGAGATTACAGTGGTACCTCAGGTTACATACGCTTTCAGGTTACATACGCTTCAGGTTACAGACTCTGCTAACCCAGAAATAGTGCTTCAGGTTAAGAACTTTGCTTCAGGATGAGAACAGAAATCATGCTCCGGCGGCGCGGCGGCAGCAGGAGGCCCCATTAGCTAAAGTGGTGCTTCAGGTTAAGAACAGTTTCAGGTTAAGAACAGACCTCCGGAACGAATTAAGTACTTAACCCGAGGTACCACTATACTGCTGTCTTCATCTGCGTGCAAGTAGACATCCAAGTAAACATCTCAGAGAAATCTGGGAAGCTGCTGACTGGGAGGGGAAGGAAGGGTGCTATTTGACCTTCCAGATGTCATTCAACTCCATCAGCCAGTGATAATAGGAGAAACCCCTGCTGAATTTAACTGTACTTGCTTCTGAGCAAAGCTGATTCAGATTGCAACCTAAAGCAGCAAGAGGGGACCTGTGGTTCCTCCAGATATTACTGGACTCTCAGCTCCCATCACCCCCAACGACTGGCCACAATAGTTAGGGAAATCCGGGAAGGGAGTCCCAACAATCGCATTACTGCTTTAGGCTGCAAACCAAGCCATGCCTACTCAGAAGTAAGTCCAACTAACTTGTTGAGATTCCTGCATTGCAGGGGGTTAGACTAAATGGTGCCAGGTATCCTTCCAGGTCTACCATTCTGTGATTCTACACTCTCAGGTAAATGGGATTAGGACTGCAGTTTTATCAATCTAATCCAGCAAAATACCTTTTACAGTATATGGTTTTGAATGGGGGCGGGGAAGAGATTGGCTGGCAATTTGTTGTTTACAAAATTAAAAGCTATATCCAGTGGTACCTCGGGTTAAGTACTTAATTCGTTCCGGAGGTCCATACTTAACCTGAAACTGTTCTTAACCTGAAGCACCACTTTAGCTAATGGGGCCTCCTGCTGCAGCCAGAGCACAATTTCTGTTCTCATCCTGAAGTAAAGTTCTTAACCCGAGGTAATATTTCTGGGTTAGCGGAGTCTGTAACCTGAAGCGTATGTAACCTGAGGTACCACTGTATGTATGTGTGCGTGTGTGTGTGTATATGTGTGTGTGTGTGTGTGTGTGTGTATATATATTGCTTTTATTTTTGTTGTGTGTGTGTATATATATGTGTGTTAATTATATACACTCTATATATACACACACAATATATATAGTTTTCAATTTTTGTAAATAACAAATTATTACATCGGCCACTCTGAGGCTCCCCTCTCCCATTCAACAGGCTGCTCCCGCCACCCGATGTGCGCATGCGCCCCTCTGCCTCTTTCACCTGCTGCAGCAGCTCCGTCATTTCTTTCTCCTCCGGACTCATCTCCTGACTGACTCTGGGCGGCCTTTGCAAGCAAAGCGCCCCGAAAAGCCTCCATTTCGGCCCCGCTGCCGCGGAGCCGCCGGAAAGGCCCCTCCAACAAGCGCGGGTCGGCCAGTTCGCCGCAACCCCGCTCAGAAGCACCCTGGCGAAGGGCGCCGCCATGTTTGTCACCGCCGGACCACAATGCACCGCGGTGGCAACCCGAGCGTAGAGGTAGGAATGAAGAGTTACACGCTGCCGGCGATTTCATTTTCCCATTTATAATTACAGTTATTTAGCCTTTCCGCCAAGAAGTGCAACGCCCTCTCCTTATCTTATTTTCACAACAACCCTGCAAAGTAGGTTAAGCTGAACAGGCAGTGACTGGCCCAAGGTCACCCAGTGAGCTTCATGGGCGAATGAGGATTTGAACCCTCACCTCCCAAGTCCTAGTCTGACAGTCACCATAATAGCTGCCCCTGCTTTATTTTTAGAATGGTTCTTAAAATTACTATTATTTGTGTCGTTTTTCACACACACACACACACACACACAGAATAAAGTCTCAATACGACTCACAAGAAGGTAAAAGAACTTAAAAGAAATTTCTCCACGAAAATGGACCCGTGTCCGAACAATGATATGATCACTCTTCGTTAATATATTTATGACTTTTCGTTACGTTTGCGTCCTGTAGCTCTAGGAAATTCCCATCTCCATGGTGGAAATCCGTCTCTTGTTTCCATTGCTGGCTAGCAGGGGGCGACAACGCACCATGGTCGAGGCCTGGGCGCCGTACGTCTCTCCGCCCACGCTTTTTCCAGGTCTGGGCGCCGCCATTTTAGGATTAGTCGTACGCAGGGGCTCTGTACGTAGAGAGGGTGCCGCCATTTTGCCATCGCCTATAACCGCGAGAAGAGCTTTCCGCTGTAGTGCCGCCCCTACCGTCCTTTGAGAGCTTCGCGGTGCCCGGCGAGAGGGATCCAGACGGTGGCGGGGAAGGATCATGATTCCTTGGTTGGCGCATGCCCGGCGAGGGCTTTTGGGGGCCGGCTTGGGGTAAGAAGTCGCAGGCCGGGGTGGAAAGGGCTGGGTTGGTCGGGAGGAAAGTTCTGGAGGTTCAGTTTGGGAGGGCTACTGTTGGGGATGCCAGGCGGCTTGTCTCCCTTCAAGGCCCTTTTGCCTTTAAAATTTGCAGGGAAGGCAGAAAACCAACAGGTGGAGCATCTGCCATCGCTGGGCAGGCTGCTATTGGGGAGCCAGGTGGTTTGTCTCTCTTCAAGGCCCTTCTGCCTTTGAAGTCAGTAGGTAAGGCAGAAATCCAACAGGTGGAGCATCTGCCATCACTGGGCAGGCTGCTGTTGGGGATGCCAGGCGGTTTGTCTCCCTTCAGAGCTCTTCTGCCTTTAAAATTTGCAGGGAAGGCAGAAATCCAACCAGTGGAGCTTTCACCCATGCCTCCATGCTGGGGGACGTCTGTACCCCGTGATTCTATTAACGATTTGCAGTATCGTGGATGCACAAGCTAGTGGAAAAAAGTGGCGGACTAAGACTTGGGAAGATCCAGGTTCGAATCCCTATTTGGCCATGCTCAATGACCTCCACCCAGTCGCTCGTGTGCAATCTCTCAAGCAGGGATCTTGAGAGGCAACTTTTGGGCTGGGTTTGTGGCCCACCAGAAATAGCTGAGTACCACCACCTCAGTCACTTTGGGCGCTGCTCCCCGATTCAGAAGCTGCGCCCCCCCTTCTTTAGTACAATAATCTGTTTATCTCAAGAACACGGGATGAGAGCCTCCTTTGGGCTTTATCAGCCTGACTGAGAGAGTAAAGTGATTTAGTTAAAGGATGGACCCATAGATCTTTGTGGGTGAGAGCCCTGCAGAAAGTCCCAGGTTCAGTCTCAGACATCTTCCATTAAAAGCATCCTAGGTAGCAGGTTTGGGAAAATGCTCCTTACCTCAGCCCATCTGGAACTACTGGCAGTAGCACACAGCATTTTAAAGACACTGTGAGAAACTCGGCTAGATGGGTCATTGGTCTGATCCAGCAGGCTCTTATGGTCTTAAAACCTGCTCAATGGGAACACTGCTTCCACCAGGTTATCTCAGATGACCGTGCTGGATACATAGCAGATTCATATGTTCATACAGCTTTATTATTATTATTATTTATACCCCACTCATCTGGCTGGGTTTCCCCAGCCACTCTGGGCGGCTTCCAACAAAAGATTAAAAATACATTAAAACATCAGTCACTAAAAACTTCCCTAAGCAGGGCTGCATTCAGATGTCTTCTAAATGTCAGATAGTTGTTAGTTTCTTTGACATCTGATGGGAGGGCGTTCCACAGGGCGGGTGTCATTTCATTACCAACTTCCCCCAACTTGGTGCCCTCCAGATGTTTTGAACTGCAGCTCCCATCAGCCCCAGCCAGCAGTTGTAGTCCAAAACTACACCAAGGATACCAAGTTAGGGAAGGCTGATAACTCACAACTGCACATTTAACTTCTGCACATTCAGCTCTATGTGCTTGGCAAAAATAAAAGGGGGCAGGCATCTGGAGGGGGCGACGACTTTGGCAATCCCCACCCCCATTGCATCCAATGTGTTCCAGCTATACACAAGTTTAGCTTTATGCACTATTCTTGGAACGCAGACTTTGCATAAGCTGAGAATTGTCTGTAGTTCAGTACAGTGGTACAGTACCTCAGGTTACAGACGCTTCAGGTTACAGACTCCGCTAACCCAGAAATAGTACCTCGGGTTAAGAACTTTGCTTCAGGATGAGAACAGAAATAGTGCTCCGGCAGCGCGGCGGCAGCAGGAGGCCCCATTAGCTAAAGTGGTACCTCAGGTTAAGAACAGTTTCAGGTTAAGAACGGACCTCCGGAACGAATTAAGTACTTAACCCGAGGTACCACTGTAGTATTTCAGAGACATCTCTTTCCCTTCCAGATGCTACCAAATTTCTCGTCTGTTGGGGGAAAGGTGACAGAACCACTAATACTGTTTTGTTGTGTAGGTAGGTAGACCAGGGATGAAGATATTACAGCCCAGGTCTTGTGAAGAACCACCTTGACCTATATAACCCTGCCCATACACTTGAGATCTACCAAGGGTCCTCCTTCAGTGCCTGCCTTTTAGGATGGTGATCAAAGGAGATGGGCGCTACTCAGCAAGGGTCCTGAAACAATCATGGACTTTCCCCTTCAGCTCTGGCACTTGGGAGGCCTTTTGAACACCTTCCTCTTCATGGCTGCCTTTAATTGATATCCATCCATCGCTTGCATCTCTGGAGCAGATTCTCCTATTCTTCTGCTGCAACTTTTTATTAAGCACTCAACTCTTTTTGAGGGCACCGTTGCACTTACCAGCAGGTTAAAAAATGCTATTAAACCCAATCAAATATTTTAAAATCCCCAGAGCTGTGAGAGGCATTGGTGTTTTTTTGGTTGGTTTGTTTTTTAAAATCCTCCCAGCTCTTCTCATGTCACAGGAATTGGTGGCTATTGCAGCAAGGCCGTTGGTTCACATGGAAACGCTTGCAATCTGCTGAAGCGATAGCAATCTCTTCCTCTCCATCCTGTTCAGCAAGGTTATAGATGAGCCCGTTTAATTAATTGCTAGGAGTGGTTGCACAATGTTGCGTGGTTGGACAAGGTCTGCAGATGAACTTCTTTTGTGGGTGATATTCTTAATTGTATACGCTCTTCATAACGTATGCTGTTGAAGTAGCAATACAGACTTGCAGTGAAAATGGCCCTCTTCCTATTGAAGTGACAAGGCATGGGTTCCCCCACCCCCATCCCATTCATTCTAGACATCCTTGAATTAAGAAGGTGTTTTCAGGGAGTGGGTGTTAAAATACACAACTGATTGCCCTTTTTATTATTCTTGACTAGTATTTCAAGTGATGTCTGGTTTTTAATTCCCTCTTTTGGTGCGCTGGAATGACAATCGTAAATGTCTTACAAATGTATCAAACAATTCTGCTGGCCTTTTGAAAACCACTTTGGGGGGGGAAGCCTTGTAAGGTGGGTCAGTTTGAAAATCAACAGTGAGGCTTTGATCTATATATTTTCTCTCTATGTGGACCAATTGTTGATTTATTTACTACTTTAAAAAAACAAGAACAAACCCTTAAGCATCCTCCAAATCGTTCAGGGCAGTATATGTGAGTTTTCTTCTCTTACCCTTGCTCCTCCTCGTTTTATTCTCACAACTGCCCTGCATGGTAGATCATTTACAAGTACTTTCCTGTTCAATTGGACCAAGACAGCTATCAAATCCAGAATCCAATTCTCACAGTAGCCACCCAGATACCTGTAGGAAGTTAGGAAGCAAGACTTGAGTGTGACATCGCTCTCCCCACTTGTGATTTCCAGCAGCAACTGGTATTCGGAGGCTTCACTGCATCTTGTGGGAGCGAGTCCCAGAGTTTAGCCCAGTGCTGCATGCAGAAGTACTTCATGCCTTTCTGTCCTGAATCATCCAACTTTCAGCTTCGCTGGGCAGTCCCTAGGCTCTAGTATTATGCAATTAGGAGGAGGGGAGCAAAAATCCATCTATTTCCTTTCTTCATGCCACGAGAGAGTGTGATGGGCTTAGGCTACCCAGTGAGCGCAATTGCAGGACTTGAACCCTCCCACTGTGGCCTCCTGCATAGACAAAATGGCAGTATCCACACTCGGGAAGGATGCTTTGGTGAAATTGAGTGAGCTTCAGAAGTACAAAATAACTTGTGGAAGGAGGGAGATTGCTTGGTAGTCACAGAATACTCAGGGGTAGGGGAAAGAGAGGGGGGGGCTAGAGGAGATGGAACAGAAGGGAACCTAGAAGGGGGAACATCCTGGAAAGGCATAGCTGGGCACCCTGAAAAGGAACACTGCACTGCAACATTTTTGTTGCAGGTACAAATTTTGCCTTTTAAAAGTGCCCCCATCCTTTAAATCGAGCGACTATCAGCAGGTGGAATTTGATTGGCCAGTCCTGAAAATTAATTTTTAAAACTCCGTCAGCCTACTGTGTTGTTGTTTTTTCAGTCACTGCTCTAGCTCTGCTAACCTGCAACCTCCGGCTTCTCTCTCCTTATGGCAACTGCAGGGTTACCCTGTCTCGCGGTGTGCAGACAAGTATCCAGAGACTTCAAGGGCAAACTGGGAATTCCGCCAGCCCAGCTGCTGAAGAAGAGGCAGAAGCTGCGAACAACAGCGACTTCAGGTGAGGCGTCGTTTTGCGCGGTTTCGAAAAAAGGCATGAGGCACTGCTGTTGTGACATTCAGAGGGCCCAGTATCCTGTGACCCAAAGGGACCACCTTAAGGAACACGCAGAAACCATAGGAAATTTGAAAACAGATTTCTGGAGTCCCTTTCCAGAAGATCGCTTATTGATCTCGGCTCTTCTGGAGTTGCGTCTTTCTGCCTGTGGTTGCAAACAGCCTTTAGAATTGTGTGAAATGCTTTGAAATTGTTTTGTTTGCAGCTTAGTCTCACATGTTTCAACTGAACTTCAGGGAGAGAGACAGTGTGCACCCAGGAGGTCCCAGTTTGCACACATCCCTCTCCTCCTTCACCCAGTGTTTGTGGTCCTGGCAGTGACTTCGCTCCTGCTGTGTGCCTGTTCTTCTTTAGTGTCCATGCAAAGACAGAGTGAAGGGATGCGGGTGGCGCTGTGGGTAAAACCACTGAGCCTAGGGCTTGCCAATCAGAAGGTCGGCGGTTCGAATCCCCGCGACAGGGTGATCTCCCGTTGTTCAGTTCCAACTCCTGCCCACCTAGCAGTTCGAAAGCACGTCAAAGTGCAAGTAGATAAATAGGTACTGCTCCGGCGGGAAGGTAAACGGCATTTCCGTGCGCTGCTCTGGTTCGCCAGAAGCAGCTTAGTCATGCTGGCCACATGACCCGTAAGCTGTACACCGGCTCCCTCGGCCAATAAAGCGAGATGAGCGCCGCAACCCCAGAGTCGGTCACGACTGGACCTAATGGTCAGGGGTCCCTTTACCTTTAAAGACAGAGTGAGAGCTAGGAGGACTGCCCTCACTCTGATTTGGCTTCAGGTGTCACTGTGCTGCCAAGCCTCTGAATTTTGCAGTGTGATACAAAACCACTCTGAGGGACGGTACCTATAGGATCCTTATACCAAGTCAGACCATTGGTTCATTTAGCTCAGTATTGTCTGCACTGACTTCCAGGATCTCATGCAAGGGGTGTTCCTGGCCCTACCTGGAGATAGCGGGAATTGAACTCAGGTACTTCTGCATGCAGGGCAGACACCTTACTTCTGAGTTACGGTCCCTCCCCTAGATTTCCTGCCCTTGTTTTGCATCTTCAGGTAAAGAAAAATAAAATAGCTGCCATTGATAATGGAGATGTCTGCACTGGAAAATGGCTTAAGTGGGGTGTTAGAAATGCAGATTTATAAGCTCATCTCCAAATGGCACCTTAAACCTAGTTTACAATCGCTGCCATGAATTGTCTGGCACCATTTTTAAAAAATGAAATTTATTGCTGCTGTTATTATTCATTTCACTTTCATACCGCTTTATACCGTATTGGCCCAAATATAAGCCGCACTCCCGCCCCCCCAAATTCCGACCGTGAAAAGTTAAAGTGCAGCTTAAATTTGCGAACTTACAAAAATTGGCTTTTCCGATATCGCTGCTGAAACAGACATACGGTAAAACAGAATGGGTGTGAGTGCCTGTGGAACTTTAAGGAACCGGCTCATATTTGGGTATTGTTTCCACCACCACCTTGAATTTTAAAGGTGTGGCTAATTTGCGGGTGCAGCTTACAGGAAAAATCTCAAAGCAGTTTACAGCACATTAAAACATCGAATAAACCAATCCAGAATAAAATAAAACAAATTCAAGCTTCAAGGAAAATATTTGAGATCCTTCTCTAAGTGACATTTTGCTTTCCCTATATATTTTTTTAACCTACGTGATTTATATAGCTGCCCCGTTAACAGAAGTACTGTAGGAAGCCAGTATGGTTCAGTGGTTAGAGTGTCAGACTAGGACCTGGGAGATCAGGGTTCATATCCCCACTCAGTCATGATGCTCAAAGGGTAACATGGGGCCAGTCACAGCCTCTTAGCCTAGCTCACAGGGTCGTTGCAGGGATTAACTCTGGAGGGGGTGAACCGTGTACTCCTTGGAGAAAAAGATGGGCTGTAAATGCAGTATATAAGCTCTTCTGCTTGTCTGTTTAAGAAAGCTGGAGGCTGCAGCCAGATAGATGTCAGTCGCTAGTCCACCTGTGAATGAGTTAATGAAATTAGGGTGGGGGAGATGCCTGCTTAGTCCCAATTTAATTTCACTAAAGCTGAGCATCTTAAAGGTAGGAGAATGGGCAAGGTGAAGCAAGAGTAAGCCAAGTTCACTGTTTGCTGTTAAGACTTCTTAAACCTCCCCAGGCCGCACAGAGGTCCTTTTCTGAATGCCCAGACCGTGTTAAGCCTTACATCAAAACTTTACATTCTCCCTTCCCATTTCACTTTTCAGCTTTTACCCCCCGGCACCAGGGAAAGGGAGCGCTCTGCGGTGGGATGGGAAGAAGTTCGAAGAGATCCCAATAGCTCACATCAAAGCTACATATAACAAGTAAGTGGCACGTTTCTCCATCTGTGGTGGATTTGCCCCGAGCCTGCAGATTGGGGTGAGGATCTGTCCCCCTTTAGTGATGGGGCTGAATAAAGACAACATGGAAATGTCTGAGGTGAGAGCCAACCTGACTTAACTGTGGATGGTTTTACACAACGTTTTGCAAAAAATATATCAAATGGGGCCTTTGTTTATTCATGCCATTAAGGTTCTATATGACGCAGGAGGCACTGTGGTGTAAACAACAGAGCCTAGGGCTTGCCGATCAGAAGGTCGGCGGTTCAAATCCCCACAATGGGGTGAGCTCCCGTTGCTCGGTCCCTGCTCCTGCCAACCTAGCAGTTCAAAAGCACAAAGTGCAAGTAGATAAATAGGTACCACTCCAGTGGGAAGGTAAATGGTGTTTCCGTGCACTGCTCTGGTTCGCCAGAAGCAGCTTAGTCATGCTGGCCACATGACCCGGAAGTTGTCTGCGGACTAACACCGGCTCCCTCGGCCTATAGAGCGAGATGAGCAGGCAACCCCAGAGTCGTCCACAATTGGACCTAATAGTCAGGGGTACCTTTACCTTTGAGGTTCTATATAAAGAAAATTATTCACTGGTTCACACTAATTCCTGTAATTCTGTGAGACTCATGAGCAGGACTAAAGAGGGATGCCCCCATCTCCTTCCCCCCAATTATTTGCTGTATGTTTAGAACCATTGGCTGTAGCCCTCTGTAATATTAAAAATCTACAAGGATATTGAATTGTTGTTTATTTCCTTGACATCTGGTGGGAGGACATTCCACAGGGCGGGTGCCACTACCAAGAAGGCCCTCTGCCTGGTTCACTGTAACCTCACCTCGCAGTGAGGGAACCGCCAGAAGGCCCTCGGAGCTGGACCTCAGTGTCTGGGCTGAACGATGGGGATGGAGACGCTCCTTCAGGTGTATGACGAAGGGGGTGGAGCAGTTTCCGCTGTGAGGTTACAGCATTTGGGTTTCTTTAGTCTAGAGAAAAGGCAAGCGAGGAGTGACGTGACAGAAGTCTGGAAACCATGCCCTCTTCTCTTCCCTCTTTGCAGCACTCACATCCTGATCACCTCTCATGAGAACGTCGCCTTGACCCTGTCGACCTGCGGTAGCGAAGGGTTCAAGAGCGCCAGGAAGGCCACCGCCATTGCGGCACAGACCACGGGGATCGCAGTAGCAGCTGTGAGTGAAATCCAAGTCGCGGCACCCCTGGAGGCAAAGGTTTTCCTGATGGGGAAGGGCGGGGCCAGTTTTACCGCTTGGACAGATCTTCTTGATGCAGGCGGGGAATCCCAGTGTGTTGGCTCTGTGTTATTTGCACAGAGCTCCTCACTTGCATCCTGCACCTAAATGATGACCACAAAACTCTTTGCACATTTAAAGAGCTGTAATATATGCGGGTGGCGCTGTGGGTTAAACCACTGAGCCTAGGGTTTGCCGATCAGAAGGTTGGCGGTTCGAATCCCCGCGACGGGGTGAGCTCCCGTTGTTCGGTCCCTGCTCCTGCCAACCTAGCAGTTCGAAAGCACATCAAAGTGTAAGTAGATAAATAGGTACCACTCTGGCAGGAAGGTAAACGGCGTTTCTGTGAGCTGCTCTGCTTCACCAGAAGCGGCTTAGTCATGCTGGCCACATGACCCGGAAGCTGTATGCCAGCTCCTTCAGCCAGTTAAGCGAGATGAGCGCCACAACCCCAGAGTCGGTCACGACTGGACCTAATGGTCAGGGGTCCCTTTAACTTTACCTTTACTATATGCTAGTATTTTTATTAGATGTTAAACTTACTGGTCATTTGTCACCCAAAAAGTCTCCAAGTGACATTGAAAAAAATATTCATAAATAAAGTGATACCTCGGTTTTCGAACATCTCTGTTGAGAAACATTTCGGTTTTCGAACGCCATAGACCCGGAAGTAAATGCTTTGGTTTTCGAACACACCTCGGAAGTCGAACAGGAAACACAGCTTCCGCTGAGTGCAAGATGCTGAGGCCTCATTGTTGGCTATTGAGTTTTTGGTTTTTGACTGTTTCAGAACTCGGAACGGTCTTCCGGAACAGATTACGTTTGAAAACTGAGGTACCACTGTACATTGTACTGTAGAAAAGGGGAAGGAGGGGGTCATATAACACGTTAATATTTGAAGGGGGATAGCCCCCCCAATAACGGTGGTAGAAAACAGTGATAGAAAACATTGACACCTCCAAGAAACAAAACAGTATTCCCACCCAGTAACCAGCAGATGATGATGATGATAATAATAATAATAATAATACAGTGGTACCTCGGGTTACATACGCTTCAGGTTACAGACTGTGCTTATCCAGAAATAGTACCTCGGGTTAAGAACTTTGCTTCAGGATGAGAACAGAAATCGTGCTCTGGCGGTGTGGCAGCAGCAGGAGGCCTCATTAGCTAAAGTGGTGCTTCAGGTTAAGAACAGTTTCAGGTTAAGAACGGACCTCCAAAATTAAGAATTAAGTACTTAACCCGAGGTACCACTGTAATAACAACAACCACCTCCATTAGTTTGTCAGCCTGTGATTTTGCTATTGAAATCTTCCCCTCTCCACCCAGAAGACATTGGAGCCCTCAATTCTCGGCAAGATCTTGATCACAAAGATGTTTGCATGAGCGATAGAAAACAAGCCGTTGGTTCAGTGGCAAACCCAGGCTTGTAGCTGCATAGTGTAAAAGGAAATATCTGAGTACAGTACTAAAGCCAGTGAGAAAAGGGCTGCAGGGATCACTCTCTCGTTGAAACAGAGCCCCCTTCTTATTTGGGGGCTCATTCCCTCACTTGATTGACTCATAACCCTATTTAGTTTTGTACATAGTTTCAAGATGAAAATTGGTTTTCTCCTACATCTAGTTCAGTCCAGAGTGCTTGTGAAGAGCTTCTGCGCAGAGATGATGGATGTGTATTGTCAGTTCTTGGTGTCCCAAGGGTCTTGCTAACAGCTTTCTGGGTGTTGGTGTATGTTTTAAGTGGGCTCAGAAAACGGGAATGAGCATTATAAAGGGAAAAGTTCCAGTGTGCCTTGAAACGGGTGACTTATATTGAGCACTGGTCCTGCTCATTGAAATTAATGGGCCTAAGTCAGCCACATTCATTAAATTCAGTGGGCTTACTCTGAGTAGGACAAACATGTGACTATCACCCTAATTATTTATTTCTATGATTTGTATTTACAGTATTGCTATAGAAGAAAAGACCACTAAAATAGCCACTAGATGGCAACCTTCCCATATTATATTCAGGGCATCCCATATTCTCTTTAGAAAGTTGCCAGTAGCCAGTTTGGAAGTAGGAGACATTTAACAGCACCACCAGTATGGTAGGATTAAATGCCCTAGAATGGAACATTTCAGTTTTGCAAATGTAGCAAGTTCTCTCACATTACAAGGCCATAATTCCCGTCCACAGCCTGCTTTCTCTCTCTTTTTTTTTGCATCTTAATTCATAGAATCATAGAACTGTAGAGTTGGAAGGGACCCGAAGCGTCATCCAGTCCGATTCCCTACAGTTCCCTTCCTCCCAGAATGCCCTTTTACCATTAACGCAATGCGGATGATTATTATTATCATTAATAATAATAATAATAATAATAACTTATTATTTGTACCCCGCCCATCTGGCTGGGTTTCCCCAGCCACTCTGGGCGGCTTCCAACAAAGATGAAAAATACACTAAAATGTCACATATTAAAAACTTCCCTGAATAGGGCTGCCTTCAGATGTCTTCTGAATGTCAGGTAGTTGTTTATCGCTTTGACATCTGATGGGAGGGCGTTCCACAGGGCAGGCGCCACTACAGAGAAGGCCCTCTGCCTGGTTCCCTGTAGCTTGGCCTCTCGCAGTGAGTGAACCGCCAGAAGGCCCTCAGAGCTGGACCTCACTGGATGATAGAGAGGAAACCACTACCACTTAGAGCCTATTTGCACAAGCCCCGTCAGTACCTCTGCAACTGCAAAGCTTTTTTCCTGCGGTTTCCAATCCATCACCATTATATAAAAAAAGATACAGTGGTACCTTGGGTTACAGATGCTTCAGGTTACAGACTCCGCTAACCCAGAAATAGTACCTCAGGTTAAGAACTTTGCTTCAGGATGAGAACAGAAATCATGCAGCGGCAGTGGGAGGCCCCATTAGCTAAAGTGGTGCTTCAGGTTAAGAACAGTTTCAGGTTAAGAACGGACCTCCGAAATGAATTAAGTACATAACCAGAGGTACCACTGTAATTCCCTTATCTGTGGTTTCTTAGAACAGGCCAAGGGCCCATCTAGTCCAGCATTCTGGCCTCCAAGGGGCCGGCCAGATGCCTCTGGGATGCTCACAAGCAGAACTTGGAAGGCGTCATAACTTTTCCCACCTTCAGTTCCCAACCACTCTTACTCAGAGGCAATATGGTCTCCGACAGAGAAGGTACAACATGGCCATTGTGGTTTACTAGCTGTCAAGAGCCTCCATGAATTTGTCTACTCTTCTAAAGCCATCCGAGGTGTTGGCAATCCCTGCCTCTTGTGGCAGTGAGTTCCACAGCTCAGCTGTGTGAAGAAAGATTTGCTTGCCTTCCTCCTGCCAATGTTCTGCTTTGTTGAATGGCTCCGGAATGTAACATTACCGAAGAGGGAGGAGAACTACTTCTTATCTACTTGGTTCTCAACATCCCATTGTCTTATCACGTTGCTCCTCACTCACCGTTTTTCCTAAGCTGAAAAGCCCTGCCAAGGATTGTAACCTTCCCTCGGATGGTAGCTGCTTTCCTAAGCCGCATTTGTTGTGCTTCTCAGTTTTATGCAACTCCTAAAACCTTCCTTGCAGTCAAGATCTAGCCACTCTGCTCTCTCTCCCTCTTCACCACCAAGCAGCTGCTCAGTTGCTGACTTCCAATTCTTCCTAAAGAAATCATTAATCCATTGTGCCGTAGTGGTTAGAGCATTGGACCCGGACCCGGGTGACCAGGGTTCGAATCCCCACCAAAGTCATAAAGCTCATTGGGAGATTTGCTCTCAGCCTCACAGACCTCACAAGGCTGTTGGAAGGTTAAAACAGAGGAGGAGGAGAACGAAGCACTGCACCTGGAGCATTTTGGAGGAAAGGCAAATAAGTATGTAAATAAATATATAGAAAGAAATATGACCATCAAAATGACAGACACAATCCTAAAATTGTTTGCTTTCCACCACCCCCTCAACCATAGAATTTCCCCCCTTCATCATTCCTGATATGGAGAGAGCTCTACTCACAAGCCACTGTATTCTGGGGGCATGTTGATAATAATAATAATATACTTATCATTATAGTATTTCAGGTACTGACCCTAAACAGGAAGGTTTGTCTCTAGGAGGTTGCCCACCTCAATGACATTCAAAGCTCATGCTCTTGTTGTAAGCCTGAGGGACTGTCTTCGTATAGATTTAGTAAGCTGCTCCGGTGGGGAGGGGTGATTTTTGGCTCAAGCACAATGTGAAGATGCTTAAAAACAATCCAGGCAAGACACAGACCAACCTGGCCCCATCCACTGACCAGATAAGGAGCAGCTTGCTTTCCTCTTCCCTCCCTGTTCCATTTTCCTTTGATGAGATGTCTATGAGAGCATGACCTTGCTGGCAGGGACAGTCTTAATATATGCAGTGCTCAGAAAATGTCAGGTGCTTGAGAACTGTTTAATAACAACAGCAAACGTGGAGACCGAACATGGGGGTGGCTCTTTGGCTAAATGTGCAAAACGTCTTCGTTTTCCCCACCCAGAAAGCATCGGCGAAGGGTGTGTCCCACGTCCGAGTTGTGGTGAAAGGCCTAGGACCTGGCCGCCTGGTAAGTGCCTGCGTTTCCTTACTGAGGATTCTCGTTGGTCCTGCTGTGCTCATTGAAATTAATGGACATTACAAGCTTAAGTCCATTCTATTTTAATCCACCCTGGGTGCTGTTGGTGCAGATGGCACATTACAGGGTGGCAAAATAGAAGAAGGCAAGTCTCTGCCCTTGCCCCCAAGGAACACACAGCCTTTTACATTTTGAAAGCAGGAGAGATGCAAAATGAAAAGGTAGAAGCAGAAACAAATGTGGGGGACGGACATTAGCTGATTGTTTCAGTTGATGGTGAGGACCAGTGGGGATTGTCAAGAACTTATATGGCTCAAGACACAGTTCTAGGGTGAAACTTTCCTTAAAACGTGCCTTTGCTAATTTATATGCATAGGTGACTCTGGGAAATGAAGGGCCAAGAAATTTTTCCATTGAGAAACGGACCTGTGGCAAAAGAAGTAGCCTCAATTTGGAGTCTTGTTTCCGCCTGAACTTGCTGGCCACTGAGCCTCCCCATCTCTCCTTAGCTGCTGTTCATTCTCCCTGGGGCACCTTCCTTATAAATCTTTAGGCGCCAGGCAAAAGCATTCCTCTTCAACCAGGCCTTCAGCTGATTAATATTCTACAGCCTTTAAAATGTGGTTTGGGGGGGGTATTGTAAGGGACACGGGTGGCGCTGTGGGTTAAACCACAGAGCCTAGGACTTGCCGATCAGAAGGTCGGCGGTTCGAATCCCTGTGACGGGATGAGCTCCCGTTGCTTGGTCCCTGCTCCTGCTAACCTAGCAGTTTGAAAGCATGTCAAAGTGCAAGTAGATAAATAGGTCCCGCTCTGGCGGGAAGGTAAATGGCGTTTTGGTGTGTTGCTCTGGTTCGCCAGAAGCAGCTTGGTCATGCTGGACACATGACCCAGAAGTTTTACGCCGGCTCCCTCAGCCAATAAAGCGAGATGAGCGCCGCAACCCCAGAGTCAATCACAACTGGACCTAATGGTCAGGGGTCCCTTTACCTTTACCTTATTGTTCTCTCGTTTCTGTTTTAACTACTTATTTGTGGTTTGATCTCATGTTTTTATCTTGTGAACCGCCCTGAGATCTTTTGTTTAAGGGCTGTATATAAATCTAATAAATAAATATATATTTTCCCCTTCCCACACCCCTGAAGCAGTTAGGCTTGGGGTGGAGAATAGACCCTTCTATTGGGAACCTATAGAAGAGTTGTGTCTCCCACACTAAAGCCTAATTGTCATACAAAGGGTGCCATTTTCACAGGGGCCACAGCACACGGGGAGAAGCCTTCCCTCTCCCACTGTAGCCCCCCCTGAAAACATCCCCGCCTACCCCCAAGCTGTAATTAAGCATGGAGAGAGGGGAACTTTCGCTTGGCTCTAATAGAAGGATTTCCCCCACAAACCAAACTGCAATAGAGGGGAAGAGGGTAGAGAGGACACCACAGACCGGATTAGAAGGTGGTCAGGGAAGGTCTTGGGTTCAATATGCAGCATCTTATTCATCTATTGCATTTATATCCCGCCTTTTTCTCCTCAACAACCCTGTGGGGTAGGGTAGGCTGGGAGGCAGTGGCTGACCCAAGCCTCATGGCCAAGCTGGGATTTGAACCCTGGTCTTCCAGATCCTAGTCAGCCACTCGAACCGCTACACTACACTGGCTCATCTCCAGGTGAGGCTGGGAGAACCGCTGCCAATCAGTGTGTAGACCCAGGATTCCCCAACCCCATGCCCTCCGTCTGTTGTGGACTACAGTTCTTATCATCCCCAGGCAGTATGTCCAGTGGTCAGGGATGGTGGAAGGTCTGGAAAGCCTGATTTTGACAATAAAGTGGTCTGATTCCATATAAGGCCCAATCAGCACTCCGCTTTAAACAATCATGGCTTCCCTCCCAAAGAACCCTGGGAAGTGTAGTTTGTTAAGAGTTGTTAAGACTCCTCCTTCTTCTCACGGAGCTGAGTTCCTGGGGAACTCTTGAGAATTACAGCTCCGAGAGGGGAGCAGGGGGGTCTCCTGGCAACTCTCAGAACCTTTAACAAACGGCATTTTGAGGGGAAGCCATGATTGCTAAATTGGAAACCACAGTGTGTTTCTTTTTTAAAAGGTATAGTGCCGATGGGGCCTGAGTCAGCTTCTCTCTCATCTTCCCATGCAGGAAGCGAAATGTTGTGTTGTCTGAAGGGTGGAAAAAACACTCGTCTCTCTCTCTCTCTCTCTCTCTCTCTCTCTCTCTCTCTCTTTCAGGCAGCCATCAAAGGACTTACCATGGGTGGCTTGGAGGTGATTTCCATCACAGATGACACCCCAATCCCACACAATGGCTGCCGGCCTCGAAAGGCACGAAGACTGTGAACCAGGAGCAGAGAGTCGAAAAGAGAGAGGAAGAGAGACTATGTTTGGGGCTCGTGCAAGTCTGCTTCTGATGCGCCTCCTGTAGCCATCTTGAGGGGGCAGCGCTACCTGCCCATTATTCCTCTGTCAAAATGTCAAAATGGAGATGGCCTTGAGCTTAGCCCAGTCACAGAACAAGCAAGCGGCTGTTTTTATCATTCAAACAAGTCTTGCCTATAAAATCTGTAGGTTAAAGTTGCCGCCTCTAAATGTCTCCTTTCTCAGGCTGCCACATTTTTATTTTACTCTATTTTCCCTCTGGAATTCCCCAGGAAGAGGGATTGATGACCAAGCCACACTTGTCACTTGCTGTTCTGTGAAGGAAGCAGGGGGTCATATCCCTACGTTTAAAGCCCACGGCTTCACCCCCAAAGAATCCTGGGAAGTGTAGTTTGCGCCTTCTCAGAGGTGCGGTTCCCAGAACCTTTAGCGAACTACATTTCCCAGGATTCTTTGGGGGTGAAGCAGTGTGCTTTAAATGTCTAATGTGGAGGAGAGTCTCTTGTCCAAAGAAGACCGGAAGGAGGTAGGGCTGTTCCTGGAACTTCTCAGGGAATTGGAGTGGGTGGGTGTGAGAGCATGCCACAATTTGTTTCCCTACACCCTGCCACGCAGCTCGGAAGGTAGGTTGCTCCCAGTCCCCCCTCCCCAGTTCCCCAGTTTAAACAGCCCTGTTATCTGTTCCCGATAACCTCGCAGCTGCGACCCACAAATGTTGACCATTGCAGCTGGGAGGTTGGCTGATTACTCAAAGCCAGCCTTGCAAGAAAGCTGAGCAGAGCCGATGCTTATAGTTAATGAACAGCCAGCAAACATACTTTGTTTTGTCATGAGCGCTAATGGGGCGTAGATTGCTCCCCTTCGGTCCAGCTGCCAGCTCCAAAGTGAATGTTGTTGTGTCTGACTCCCTCCCCTTGATGCCATTATTTTTCCTTCTTTGGTTCCTAATGTTGTAATCAACTCTGCTCTTCTTTAAAAGAAAGGGTGCCATGGCAACCAGGCAGCCATTTTAACTCCTGACTGCCCTTGTTATGCATTGCTGAAAAAAGCGACTCTTTTCCCTCCCTCCCCAACTTTTCTTGCTTCTCTTTTTTTATTTATTTGTGTTTGCAGAGAGGGGAAGGATTGGAATCAACTTGTTTTGCTTTAAGGCAGGTACAGAGATGGGGTTTGGATTTGAACCGGTTAGGAAGAATGCAAAATGAGCGCAGTGGCCCACCCAGTCAGGACCGCAATATCACAAGGACCAGCTCCCCCCATATGAACAGACCTGGACCCTGCAGTCATTATCTGAGACCCTTCTTCATGTGCCTCCTCTGCGACAGGGTCTGGAGCACAGCAACACGAGAACAGGCCTTCTTGGTGGTAGCTCCCCGCTTGTAGAATGCTCTTCCCAGGAAGGCCTACGTGGTGCCTTCATTACATCTCTCTAGGCACCAGGCAAAAACATTTCTCTAAAACCAGGCCTTTGGCTGATTCAACAAGACCTCCTGCACCCACGATATGAAACCTAAGTTGCCCACAAGGGTGCATGTCAAAATTTGAACGCAGTTCTATTCCTGAAAACAACCCAAGTGTCTTTGGGCTCCTTAAAAGACAAAGGACTACATTTGATCAGATGTGTGATTTTCAGGTACATATATACACATCTGTGGGAAGAAGGCAGCAATTGTAAGAAGTGAAGTCGGAGATGCAGAAAAGTACAGTGATAATCTTTCACTTAACAGAAATAATTCACAGAATGGTACACAGAATTCCTGGCACTGGTAAGCCAATTAACACACAACATAGGCTAAAAAAAAAAAATTATTATTTTTTGTTCTATCCAGAGCTCTTTTTGCAGCTGGAACTCAGTTCCAGCACCTCTCAGGTGGGCGCCATTGCCATTATAAGAGAACAAGGGAGGCGTTCATGATGAGTTTTGGCAGCGGAAGTTTGTTGCAGAATATGATACGCAAGCTGGTTGCCTTTGAATCTGTTCCACAATAGCACAACTTCCTGTAATGAGTTTCTGCTAGCACAGCTGTCACACTGAATTCCTCTGTTGCACAACATCAAAACGCATCCTGCCACAAGTGGACAGAAAACCCAAGTCTCTCTTCAATCCACTAGCATAAAAACACCACACTGTTTCAGAGGTGAACGCGTGAACATCCCCAAGATGCAGCCCTTCAGCTTTCCCCTTTTAAAATAGCACTGTTAACATTTGTGTAAGCCACAAAGCTCGGCCTGGCAAGTCAGCCTGTCTCAGTGAGGAACGTGGCCCATTATTGCCTGGGAGCAATCTGGTGCCTGCCCTTCTATACATTTGTGTTTGCTTTGCTCTTCAGATCCTTGTGCATCTCTCGCTTGGGCAAAGGCGGGCTTGTTACCTTTCCAGCTGCCCATCAGGCCAGGGAAATGTAACATCTTGACATGTTTGCTTCCTTGCAGATCCTCCAGCTCAGCATAATCTCCAGTAGGGGTTTGTAAACATCGGCCTCTCTGCCTTTGTCTTTCAGACTTAGTGGGGTATCTTGTGACTCCATGGCAGCACTATGGCTAACAAAGATGAGCTCCTGAGAACTTTCCTATACTGTACTCTGGAACTGGCTATAGCTAAAGAACATCCTTTTTTTTCTCCTAGCCCTTATGCTGCTGTCAAATTCCCCCTCCCTTTTTTGAAAACTAACCCTATTTTGGGATTCACTCACATTAAGTTGAACTTTTGGTTCAGTACTAATTTGAAGTAGCTTTGCAAACTGCAGTTTGTTGTGATCACCAAGGTGTGGTGCGACATTTTCAACTGTCAAAGTGTCCTGACAGACATTGTCTCACCACAAAAAGCCACTGTAGAACTGGAAATAGTAAGTGAATCGAAAAGAAAAGCAATGAGGAAGCGCAGTCTAAACCATGGTTTGCCTGTTGTACTTTTGGAAGCGCAGACCATGGTTATTCTAAACCAGGCATCCCCAAACTTGTCCCTCCAGATGTTTTGGGACTACAACTCCCATCATCCCTCGCTAACAGGACCAGTGGTCAGGGATGATGGGAATTGTAGTCCCAAAACATCTGGAGGACCAAGTTTGGGGGTGCCTGTTCTAAACTATGGTTTGCACAAACTATGGCTTAGCAGGCTGTCTGAACTTTGCCTCTGCCATTAAGCCATGAAGAAGGACCTGAGTTAAGCCTGCCACCAACATCCCTAAAGTTTTTTAATGTAGTTTGCAAAAGTGGTGTTTTGCTGTTTGATCTTTTCCACTCAGCCTTCTTTGAACTACTCTCACTGGCTGCTCAACTTGTTGATGGCGGGGGGGACGGGACCCTACATACTGTAATCAATAATCAACTTGATTTGCCTCACCAGGTTGTTTTGCGAGGAAGGGTGTGGTATAAAATAAATAATACCTATTAAGTAAAATTGAGGAGGAACTATGAAAGGGGAAAATAATTGTGCCAAGTCAATCAGCAATAGTTTTCTTTTAAAAATAAAATCAAAGCTAGTTGTCATTCTTCCCTTATTTGAGATTTCGAACCCCTCCCCTCCCCGCCAAAAGCATCTCCGCTTCCCTTTCTGTCAGTGAAATGTGTCAAGTGTTAAGTTCTGGTGCCTATTCAAATTTTCAATTACAGAGTTAATTAAAGGTTAGTGCCTTTAAATACCTGGCAGCACTAACTACAGCAGGTGGGGGAGAGGGCGACGCTGGGAAGGAATGAGGACAGATTGCAAAAATGAACTGAAGTTTCAGGAGAGTTCTTTGGAAAGGGCTGCTCTCTATGCAGGTTTGGCCAAGGAGGAAAATACGGCAGCTTCTACGTGAAAATATTTGGATCGCTTTGTCCTCCTGGATCACATCGGAGTTCCATCTAGTTCAAATGTTTTGGGACTGGAAAACGCTTCGGAATATAAATACTGACCAGTGACACCCAAAACTTTGAAAATGTTTTAGAGAAATTAACACAAAAGCTAAGGTCACTAAGGGCTGACCAGGAGGCAAAAGATAAAGGACCCGTTTGAGAAAATATGGGAAGCGTTTATGGATTACACAAATGTAAAAGATGCCTGCCCATGTATTCTGGATTGTGGATCTTTTGAGTTATTTTCTCTCTAAGGAAAAATGAATGGTTAATCAGTTTGTATAGTCACTGAGATTTTTAAAAAACCTGCTAATGGTCACCTTTTTGTTTTATCCTTGGTTTTTTTAAAAAAAAAAGTTTAATATAAATCTGTTTTCAAAAAATAAAAGCACGTTTTGTTCCCCAACTGCACCCAATAGACTGCAAAAGGGATGCAGGTGGCGCTGTGGTCTAAACCACTGAGCCTCTGGGGCTTGCCAATCAGAAGGTTGACGGTTCGAATCCCCGCGACAGGGTGAGCTCCTGTTGCTCGGTCCCAGCTCCTGCCAACCTAGCAGTTTGAAAGCAAGCCAGTGCAAGTAGATAAATAGATACAGCTGTGGCAGGAAGGTAAACGGCATTTCCATGCGCTCTGGTTTCCGTCACTGTCCCGTTGCGCCAGAAGCAGTTTAGTCATGCTGGCCACATGACCTGGAAAGCTGTGGACAAACGCCAGCTCCCTTAGCCTGAAAGCAGGATGAGCGCCACAACCCCATAGTCTCCTTTGACTGGACTTAACTTTCCGTGGGTCCTTTACCTTTTGCACCCAATAGTTGGACATTCTCAAAGGTAAGGTGAAGCGAAGGTGCTTCCATTGGCCGATTTCATCAAATCTGTCATTTGGAGCTGAGATGTCTTTGTGGCAGGGAGGCGAGGGGAGCAAGTTCCCTGGAACTGTTTCACGCCTGCCTGATGGGATATGAGTAATGCAACAAAGGAAGCAGTCTTTTATCCCAGTCAGACCATGGCTCCGTCTAGCTCAGCACTGGCTCTGCTGACTGGCAGTGGCTTTCCAGGGTTATAGGTTGCCAGCCCTATATGGAGATGCCATGAGGGATTGAAGCAGGGAAACCTCTGCATGCCAGAGCGACTGTGTTTCTGCAGGGACAGGTTGGTCTGCTGAACATGATCTTCCCGACAGGCAGGAGGTGCTCGCATCTCATGGCCCTCAATCCACTCTGACTTGCAGCAGAGTGCATCTCCTTTTGATTCAAGAACACAGACTAGCCGTTCAAAAAATATTTGAGGAGAGTGCAATGCAGGCTCTGTGAGAGGTGTAGCCTGGGGAGAAGGGAAGGGGCTGGCTTGAGATCCTGAGGGCCAGATAGAAAGGCCTGAAGGGCCACTTTCATGTCCTGGGCCTGTGGTTCCCCATTTCTGCATTATTTTCAGGAGGGTGGTACAGGGTTGAGGACCCCTCTCCTAGCGCTACTTCTCTGAAATTGAAGGCCCCTGTGGCTGCTTAGAAAAAGAAAAACACACATTCAAAACCTCCAGAGGACCAAATGCACATCTCTCGTATTTCATCGCTTTCAACCCTGCACAGGATGCATAATATTTTGGTCCTCTTGTGTCCCGTGCGGGGAATGTAAGCTCTTTGGGGCAGAGACCCAATGTCCTGATGTACCTCGGTCAAAATGGCGGCGCGGTGCAGATCACAACAAACGTTCAACCTTCGGGAGTCGCTTCCGATTGCTTTCCACAAGCCCAGGTGGCATTTATTCACCCGGCTCACCTTTCCACATTCCTTAAACACATTCTTTGCAGGGCAAAGAAGATCAAGGGCCCTTCAGTTGTTGTTTCTGTACTTTGGCCACCCTCTCCACTCTCTGCAAGACACCCTGGCTTTAATTGGTGTACTCTTTCCATCTCTGGAGCTGCTAGGGTGCTTTTGTTATCGAGCCGGCTAAAAGCCTCCAAGAGGCCTTGCCCTGATGGAGGAGTTTGGTAAAGGAGGCAGATGGAAGAAGCAGGCAGCTTCCTTCGTTCCTTGGAAGCACTGAACAGGGAGAGCAGTCTCTACTACAGACAGACCCTCCAAGTGTCCCAATTTCCCAGGGACAGTCCGGAATTACAGAAGCCGTTCCCAGTTTCTGACTTGATCCCAGAATGTGTGCCAGTGCAAAAACAGTCCTGTTTATATGGAAAATAAAATCCCTGCACCAAATGAAGGAAGCGGTGATGCTGAGAAGCCCTATAATTTCGAAGGAAAAGGTCACCACTTTAAAGTCTTTCACTGCAAAGGCAGACATTTCTTAGGAAACACAGAGAGTGTTGATTCCTTTATTGTAAATGGAGCCTGACACTGTCTACTCAGAAGAAAGTCCCACTGTATTCAGTGGAGCTTACTCCCAGGTAACTGGGTCAAACCTGGGTCACATACTGCCATCCAAAGCATTTTGACTAAAATCTTAAATCCCACTTAGTTCCATAGGATTTACTCACTGGTATGTTCCTGATCATTCTCACAGTTTCTATTATTATTATTATTATTTCATGCTTTTTTTCCATGACAGGGACTCAAGGCAGCTTCCCGCTATAATTTCATTTTATTCCCTTTATCTGTGGAAGGTGTTGCATACAATCCCTTTCCTCAGACAATTTTTCTTTGCAACAACCCTGTGAGGCAGGTGATTAAGATAAAGGGCGGGGGGAGAGGCAACTGTGCCCTGGTGTCTGGGGTGCAGAGCTCTGCACATGCTCAGAGGCTTCCAAGCCTAGCACCTTTGTACAGTGGTACCTCGGGTTAAGAACTTAATTTGTTCTGGAGGTCCGTTCTTAACCTGAAACTGTTCTTAACCTGAGGTACCACTTTAGCTAATGGGGCCTCCTCCTGCTGCTGCGCGATTTCTGTTCTCATCCTGAAGAAAGTTCTTAACCCGAGGTACTATTTCTGGGTTAGTGGAGTCTGTAACCTGAAGCAGCTGTAACCTGAGGTACCACTGTAACTCAAAGGTAAGTCACCTTATTTGCAAACCTTTGAAATGAGAGTGCAGGAATTTGCTGGTGCAAAATTTAGTGGCTTGTTTCTTCTGTCTTCCCACAAGGTCCCATGGTGGATCCTTGAGTGAAAGCGAAGAAAGATGATCGCAATATTTTCCTCCTGCCCTAAGGCAACCGACTTTCGCAGGCCAATTGTCAGAAACAGCCCTCTCGCCGCTCTTTACGGAACAACCGAAGGCTTTCATTTGCTTTTGGTGCGGTTTATGGCAGATGTGCATCAATCCATTGCCTTGTCAGCACTCAGATCTGCCCAAGCAGGTCTGTACCAGACAGATGGGAAGGAAGATTAATTTGTAAGGTGAGCTGCCGAGCAAGGCTGAAGCTTTTTCCATGTGCTTTTTTCTCCGCTGTGCAGCAACTGCAGCTGCCTCCCGTGTTCACCCCCTCCAAGGCATATATAGCAAAAGAGATAATTTGAAGAGGCCAGTTTAGTGCTGGTGACCAGAGACACAGAAAGACATTCATCACTGGTCACCAGAGCAAGAATTACACTGGCAAAACCGGCAGAATTCGAGATCAGGAAGAAGGGTCGATGGAAGAAGATTGGAAAAAATTTAAACTATATCTTCAAAAATACTGCAATATAAAAAGATTGTTAGAAAGAGGTTGGAAAAGAATACTAGGCCGTTTTGGCAGACAAGGTATAATGGAATAAGTAAAAATGAAGTGTAGAAACTGAGGATAGAGGAGGATTAAATACATTATTGAATGTTAAAATAAGTAAATGAAAAGAAGGGTTAGAGCAAGATCCAGATGCATTCTTCTTCCGCGTCCCTTTGTCTCAGCGACTGATCTCTGATCCTCACACTTCAAGCTTCCTAACACTTCAAGCTTCCAGTTATCATACATCCTTCCCACTTACTCTGCGTCTACTGCTGGTTTTGGAAGCTAGTTTACATACCCAGTTAGCCACAACCCACATTTATTTATTTCATAAAATTAAAATAGCACTCGTTTGCAAAAGGCAGCAACCTTGAAAGCGGTTTCCAATGAGAATAAAACAACGGACGGAATTATCAGTAAAACAACACCAAATTTAGAATTAAATACAGTCATTTACCCTCGCTAGATTCAACGTGCTGCCATCTGCCTTATTGCAGGGCAGATTCAAGGGTAAACCACACACGGAACGAGTCTGCCCCTGCGGCTTGATCCTTCTGTGATGTATGTATGATTTTTTGGGGGGTGGGTGGGTCTTGAGCTACAGGGTGGGCAATTTCAAAAGTATATAGGGGCTTGCATACCATTGTTCTGGATTCCTCCTTCCTCCTGCGTGTGGTGAGTGAGCACCCTGTTTCAACAGTTTAATAAAGATCAGGCATAATAGCTACTTCGCTTCTCAATATTCTCTGTTTGGCCTCTGTTATTTTCTCCTACTGATAGAGAACCTACATAAGGCCTGTATACGGGCGGTTGGATACCCCATAAGGGATATAGGAGCAGTGGCTTTTTTATATAACAGGGCTGCCATATTTCCATAATGTAAAAATCCGGACTTTTGAGGGGTGATCACCCCTGCTCGCCCCTGGGGCAGCCGCTACCACCAAGCCCGGACCAGAGCCAGAGCTCAAGCTTGAACCCAATCAGCCTGTGCACACAAACTGTTTTTAAAAGAAACCCAAAACCTGGACATTAGCTTACGATTTCAAAAATCCCACCGGGTGGGCATGTAGTTCCCCCCTCCCCCAAAAATAGGACATGTCCGGGATTTCCCAGACATATGGCAACCCTATATATACCAACAGTAGCCCCTTGAACTTAACCCAGGAGCAACCGGGGCAGATCTCTTAGCAGAGGTGTTATATGCTGACAGGCACTCACTCCTGCCAGCACCCATGCTGCAGCCCATGTTATTCTGTCATTTCTTATGAAATAATGCATCTGGATGTGTTTTCTATAAAGCAGCTTCAATCTGAGCTGAGAAGGGAGGAGAACATTTTAAACTTGCCATGTGTACACAGCCTCCCATTGCAATGAGCTAAGGGATTCATGAAGTTTGCATATTAGCAAATCCGTGGTTGTCGGTACCTTTTTGAGATGCTGGTGGAAGTGTACATTAAATGACAATCTGCCATGCCTTGGCAGAAGGAAAGGCCATCTTCATTGAACAGGTGTTTGTTTGTTTTTCATCCTCTACTATAGCAAGAAGCTGGAATTGAAATAGACCAGCTTTCACTAACAATAATAATAATAATAATAATAATAATAATAATAATACCCTGCCCACCTGGCTGGGTTGTGCCAGTCACTCTGGGTGGCTTCCAACACATATAAAAACATTTTAAAAAATCAAACATTAAAACTTTCCTGATACAGGTTATTTCAGATGTTTTGGACAACTCCCATCAGCAACAGGCAGCAAAGCTGGATAAAGCCTGCCAGATTACAGGCAAATAACTGTACGATTTCTGTGCTAGGCACCTTTAAGGTTTGACTTCTTATTTGTTTATTTCAAAAGAAACATCAGCAACTGATTGAGCAGAGCTGGGTGATTTGCAGGTAGGCTAGTTTAGGGGGCGCAAGGTAAGCTGCCTGGCCCTGTCCCTCAGTATCTGCTGCCTGAGGCAGCTGGTTCCTTCTCCATAATGGTAGGGTCATTCTTGCCAGGAGCCAAACCCAAGGAAGGGCCATAGCTCAGTGGTGGAGCATCTGCTTTGCATGCAGAAGGTCCCCGGTTCAATCCTTGGCATCTCCTGGCAGGACTGGCGAAAGACTCCTGCCTTAAAATCCCACAGAGTCAGTGCCAGGCAATGCAGACAATACTAAGCTATATGGGCCAAGGATCTGAACTCAATGTAAGGCAGTTTCCTATGTTCGCATGTTCCCTGGTTGCGTATGTGGAAAAAGGAGCATAGTATGGATCTGAAGGCCCTGCCTGTGGGTCCCTGATCTGCCACGATTTGTTTACACAGTGTGGTGTAGTGGTTAAGAGCAGTGGATTCGTAATCTGGTGAACCAGGTTCGCTTCCCCGCTCCTCCACATGCAGCTGCTGGGTGACCTTGGGCTAGTCACACTTCGCTGAAGTCTCTCAGCCCCACTCACCTCACAGAGTGTTTGTTGTGGGGGAGGAAGGGAAAGGAGAATGTTAGCTGTTTTGAGACTCCTTCGGGTAGTGATAAAGCGAGATATCAAATCCAAAATCTTCTCTTCTTATTCTTCTTTTTCCACTTGATGCTGCGGCCTCCAAGCAATGGGCCCGCAAGGCTGAGCAAGCTTTGAAGCGTCAGCTCTCCGTAGAACTGAACGTCTGAAAATGGGCTAGTTGGGGCTGGTGGTCACCCTTCCAGCTGCTCTTCCAGCAGATTTTCGAGAGAAGGAAGGCAACGTCTGGCAGGAAAGGAAGGGTTTTCCCTGACTGGAACTGAGCCAAAGCAGCAAACGGAGGTGTCTTGGAACACATCCAGCAATTCCCTCCCCGAGATTTAATTTAAAGCGTTAATCAGAGAAGAAACCATGTGCTGAGCCTTTCCGGTACAACAGGTGCAAAGCTTAGAGTTGGCCGTTTAGTAGCTCTTAGGTGCTCGTCGGGGACTTGAAAACGCAGCAACGCCAGGATTATGTGTACCTGTTGCCCTTGGAGAGCACTTGAGGGGATTGGGAGAGTTTGCCCTTCTCCCTCCCACTGCCAAGCCAGGATGGAGCTCTTGCTGATCACAGTCACCATGGCAACCAGGAGAGGCAGCCCCCTACACGGAATGTTCCCAGTGTAGCTCCGAGTTGAAAAGAGTAGTTGTTTGTCCACTCTATGCATGCAAAAGGGCAGCGACTCTCCCATTCCCTTGTATGGATCAAGTGCTTTGTGACCTGAAAACAAATAAATGGAAGACTATGCTTGACAAGGCCACCAATTTAGCAACCATCCAGGTCGAGCCCTACTATTATATAATGGGAGATAGCTGCCCCACCATCCCCGCAAATCTTCTAAGAGGTCCCATGGCTATGGTGGAAGCTGTTGCCTTATCACCAGCGCTGGAGAAAGAGTCAACTGCTAGATTCTGTACATGCAATTGTGGAGGCGGGGGGGGGGGGGGACGGACATCAGACCAGCCCTGGAGCCCTTGCAAAGTACTGTTTGGTGAGTCCACTCTGACAATGATGCTCCTCCCCGCTGGCATTGCCTCCTCCCAGTGGGCTAACTGGCTACCTTCAGCTGCTAGTCATCAAGAGCTAGTTCACACATGAAGGTTCATCGCTTGGCTGACTGCAGTGTCCTGGTGTGTGTGAATGGGCATGGGAGAATAGGTTCCCACAGGAGAGGCACTTGCATGTCATTTCATGATGCTTTTCAGTTTATACGGTGGTACCTTGGTTCACGAACTCAATCCGTTCTGGAAGTCCATTCGACTTCCACAACGTTTGCAAACCAAGGCACGGCTTCTGATTGGCCCCAGAAACAATGCCGATAGCCGAAATGGACGATCGGCTTCCAAAAAACGTTCACAAACCGGAACACTTACTTCCGGGTTTGCGGCGTTCAGGAGCCGATTTGTTTGGGAGCCAAGCCGTTCAGGAACCAAGGTACCACTGTACATTCATTCTGCAGCTAGCCTTTAAGATGACAGCAGACAAGTGTAGAGAAATCAAGTGACATACATTTGTGAACACACATAATCCTGTCCCATGTCAGTCATGTGCTTTTTGGAGCACTTGGGAGTCAGCATGGTATTGGTTAAGAATTTCAGACTAGGACCAACGAAATCATAGTTCAAATGGTCTTAAGGCATGATGAGTTGATGCTTTGGTCAGTCATTCTCTCCAGCCAAATCTAAGCTTTTCTTATGAAAACAGATGCTGACCCCGCTTAGATGGAAGCAGGACAGAGATGTGACTAAAGAAACTTGGGTGTCCCTGTTATGTCCAGCTTCACCTTTAGACTTCATGTGTCTGGATGCTATGGAAAAACACCTCTGCAAAAGGTTCTGGAACAGGCATAGGCAAACTCGGCCCTCCAGATGTTTTGAGACTACAATTCCCATCATCCCTGACCACTGGTCCTGTTAGCTAGGGATGATGGGAGTTGTAGTCCCAAAATCTGGAGGGCTGAGTTTGCCTATGTCTGTTCTGGAACCTCTGCAAAATGTACATAAAAGCGAAGAGGAGACAAAGCCGTATTCAAAAATAGAATTCCAGTTTATTTTGCTTTTAACGTTGCACAGGTAACAAATTCACACCCTATCCCTGGTGGAAACAAAAATATCAGGTGTAAATATTATCCGTTTGGGTTTCCTAAAAACATCAAAGGGGAGGAAGAACATACATTGTTGCAGATAATACAGTGATAGGCTCTGCCCTGCTGCACTGTGATGCCCACCTCCCTTTAGCACACACTCCCAATACTTCATAGCTGTGAACACAGGATCAGAGTTGGAAGGCACCACAAGGGTCATCTAGTCCAACCCCCTGCAATGCAGGAATCTTTTGCTCAATGTGGGGTTCGAACCCACGACCTTGAGATCAAGAGTCTCATGCTCTACCAACTGAGCTATGCCATGTCTTATTTGCAGCACTTTTCAATCTATCAATGGTTGCTAGCCAAAATGTTCTACCTCCGCCGCTGGAGGCAGTATGCCTCTGAATACTGCCGAGTGCTGTTGTGCTCAGGTCCGGCTTGTGGGCTTCTGAAAACAGGGATGCTAGACACATTCATTCTTTGTCTCCGGAAACTAAGGCCCAAGGATGTCGATTGCAAGTCACTTTGTTCCACAGAAGCAAAGAGAATCTTCTAAAGCTAAACAGCTTTCAGGCTGAACAGAGCGAGATTGAACGAACAGTGAACGAGGGAGGTGATCCTGCTCAAAAGGACCTTCCAGGACCAAGACAGCAAAAAGTAACCTATTGCAAATAAGAGTCGTAGCTCAGTGGCAGAGCATCACCTTAGCATGCAGAAGGTCCCAGGTTCAATTGAAAGCATATCCAGGTCAGCCTGGGAGAGAACCCTGCCTGACACCAAGCAGAACCACTGTCTGTCACTGTGGACAATACTCGGCTAGGTGGACCAATGGTCTGACTTGGTACAAGGCAAGTTCCTAGGTCAGAGTTAAGATATTGCTCAGTGATGCTCATTTAGATCTCATGGGAATTCACCCAGAGCTCCCAAGGTCCAAATGTGCACAGTTGTTGCACCTACTCACAGCAGTGGGAAAGTGCAATGAGAGACTGAGATGCACAGTGCTTTCCCCTCCATTGGGAATGCCCCCAAAAGATACTCTGTTAAAGGCTTTCCTTCCTGATGAGAACTGACAAGATACAACCAAGCTGATCCTCAGACAGCTGGACCGAGACCTAAATTACGGAGCTGTGAATTTTGGGTGGGTGTCCAAAAATGTGCCGATCATTCAATGTGGCTGGAGGGAAGATGGCTCTTTGTCTTGACCAATGGATCAGGCTGGGCCATATCTGTACTGTGGTCTCCAGTGACCAGCGCAAGTTAACAAGGCCATCCCTTTGTGCCACTATGCAGCTGAAACAACATGGAAAGGCCTACCTTTTGCGTTTCCAGTTATCTGCAAAATTAAATCCCACCTCAGCACCGCAAGGCATGTCCCTCTCCTTTAATGTTTTACTTCCAAAAATATTATATACTATTTAATTGTGTGGGGGGGGGATACCACAAACTGGCTTGCAAAGAGAATACTCCTTGTTTACTCCCTTTGGGTGGGCAGATTTAGGCAGCATTATGGCAAAGGGAGAACAGAGCGTGGGTAGCAGGAAGATAAAAAGCAAACTTCTCTCTCTCCTTTCTTTCTGAAAAACAAATAAATTCTTGACTAGAGTAGAAAGACCCTAGAGATGTGAAGACTGAGGAAAAACAAGGGGGAGAATGGAAATATTGGAGTGGGATGGGAAGAAGGAGAACAGGGATTTTTTCTCCCTTGAGAACTTATTTTTTCACACAGAAGAAATGGACATTTTGAGGAAACCTGAAAAGCAGCTCCATTGAAATGTGTTTTTTTTAAAAAAAAATTGATGAAATGCTTTTTAAGGCAAGGTTTTAAATATTTATGTGTAAGCCAATCTACAGCAGGGATGGGAAATTTGTGGGCCTTCAGACTCTCAGCACCCCTAGCTGGCACTGGCAATGGTCAGGGTTGATGGGAGTTGTAGTCCAAACCTAACATATACTGTAGTGATAAATGACAACACTCAAATCCAGAAGCATTTCTGCACCTAGAGGGTGCTGCTATCTTCATGAGAGGACCATACACTTTATTTTGTTTACTTTACTACAAAATTTGTGGTTCTTATTTTCAACTTTTATTCCCCCCCCCCCCCACTTCTCAGGTGGCAAAAAAGTAAGATACATGTACAGCAGTTTGCATCTCTCTCTAGAATTGGGTATATTTGCAACTTTGCTTGCACAAAACTAAGGCATTTTTATACTTTTGAGTCTGCAATCCCACGCTTTGTTTAGCTGGGAGTTAGCATCACTAAAGAGTGGGACATATACTTCTGAGTAAATATGCATAGGGCTGTCCTATCAATTTCATAAATACGCCACATGATATAATTTTGTGTGCCAAGTTACAAATTATGCATTTTATGTTGTTAAAGCAGTAAAAATACATTTGGGTTTCATAAGAAAATAAATATTGCATATATTTCAAATGTCCTCAAAAATTACGCCACCCTCTCCCTGAAAAACAACACACACATTACATTTTTCCAGAGCTTTAACATTTCCATAAATTTTACACCTCTACTCTGAAGCGATGAACTCTGATCCCACTGTTACAAGACTGCAGTGCGGGAAGAGGGAGAGAAGGAAAGACTAAAATCTTTGGTGTTAAAAGGAAATGGTTCCTCTGTTGTATTTTGCTCACGTAGCAATGCCAATCTTTTTAAAAAACAAAACAATGCGAGGCATTATTGGAGCAGGAGTAATTTGCAATATAATCTGTTTGCTTATTGAGAATGGCAGAAGGGCTGAAAGTCTGAGAAACATGAGGAAAACTATGACTTCATCTGTACTCAGGCAATGCATCAAAGCCGCACACTGTTAGATGAGATGCACATCACTCCTCTAAAGCTGTTTGGTTTCCTAGAGCATGAATGTTCAGCTTTGGTGTGCCTCTGAAAAAATGCGTACACTCAGTGCCCATGGCGACCATAAGGGGAAAGCGTGCTACGTGCAGCTGTGTCTCATATGGAAGTTTACAACATATTCTGCATTAGTCCGCTGCACCGAAATAGCAAAGGGCTCGAAAGGGTGGAAGGTGAAAGCAACCAGGCGTCGGACGGTGTGATTGATGGGCCGGCCCAGGAGTCCCGCTTGGATTTCAAACTTTAGAAGCCCAGAATCTCGGGCATAGAACCTGCAAGGGAGACAGACAAACAGACAATGATGCTCGTAGGCCAGTCTTAACTGAGTAAGAGGAAATATACTGTGACTGAGCAGGCAAAGAAAGATGCCATGTTGTTTTGACTAGTGAGAAAAAGAAAAAGCGGGCATTACGACAGAATTGTGAGAAAGTTCTCATAAATGCAGTTTGGAAGAAGTCAAGGCCAGCTTTTCATAAAATGAACTGTAAGGGGCCTAAAGCACATTATGGGCTAGCTAGTGAACGGCCCATGAAATGGTGGAAACCTATGATGAATGAGACCATAAAGACGGGCTGCAGCAGGGCGAGCGCAGATTGATGCTCCCCTCCCGACAGCTAGCAGTTCTGTATCCTTTTGCTCCTTGGTCTGCAGAGCGTAACAGTCTTTGCTGCTTGGTTGCCAGGCATTCAAACATGTTTGAAATGAGAGCAGCATTAAGAGGCCCATCTTGCCAACCTGATGCCCACGGGAAACGTACAAGCAGAACCTTGAAACGACTCAATAAGAACTGAGCAAACTCAGTAGACACAGAATGCTGTCTGATTTGGGGTTGTGTGGGTGAGAGGCAGGATGGGACAGAAAACCAGAGCGAGTGGGTGGAGGAATCTAGAAAAAGGCATGGCACTCTACACTGAAACATGCTGTAGAAGGTCCCACTTATGATTATGCCAGAAGATGTGGCAATAACTACAATGGGAAGGGTAACAAAGCACAGAGAGAGTCCTAGGTTCAATTCCCAGCCTGAAACCCTGGAGAACCACTGCTGGTCAGTGCCGTAGGCAATGCTGAGCTAAATTGTCTGCTTGGATAAGGCAGCTTCCTCCAATTCTATGAGATTAGATGCTTTTGAAGCAGGTTTGATGAAACAAGATTCCTGGAGAAGGAGAAGCCTGTCCCTAGAACATGCCCAAGAATGCTCTATAAAATAATGCTCTTAAAGGGTCATCTCTGCCCTTATATTACCAACCAATTGCTGTTACATGCAGAAGAGAGGCTCCTGCAGATAGAGTCTCATAAGGCGGTCCATTCCATACCTTGTAGGAATTAGGTCTTCAGTATGGTGGCACCTAACCTCTGGAACTGCCTCCTGCTACAAAGCAGGCAGGCACCCATCTCAGTTGCCTTTTTGGCCCCTAGTGGAGACCTTCCTTTCTCAACAAATCTTCGAAGTGATGTCTTTATCCCAGGCTGTATCTGCATTGGATTTGTCCCACCCCGCCCTGCCCCACGGGCCATGTATGGAATTGTTTTAATTGTTGCTGTTTTTTACTGTGAAACTGCTTCGAGGCACATTACAGGAAGCAATTCATAAAAGAAACCAAAGAAAGGAAGAGCTGGGTTTCTGCGGCAGACGCTGCGGTTTATTCCTTGGCAGATGAAATCAGTGCAGAAAGTGCTCCCCAAAGGTAGAAAGTTTGAAAATTGCAGCTGCACAATATAAGCAAAAGGCACAGGCCAACCGTGTCCTGGGGGAGTTGCAGCTGCAACTGCAACGAGTTGCTTCTCTCCCTGCTTTCAGCTCAACATGTCTCCCTCCTATAGAAGCGGACGCCAAGTGCTTCCCCCAGCAGGATGTTGGCTCCTGGGCCAACCACTTCAGCTACTGAATGGGACCAAGGATGCTCTTTCAATAGGTAGACACCCCTCCAGGTTTGGATAAGGCAGCCAGCTGAATTCCTCACATTCTCTCTGCATTGCCATTGTTCGTTCTCTCTGTGTCTCCTCTTGAAAGCCCCAGCTAGCCTGACAATTAAAGGAAACAGACTGGGTGGAAAAGCAACAATCTTGATAGCTGGCTTTTTAAAGGGTTTCCTCCTCCACAGGAGCAGCCTTCTGAACTGGGGGTGGTGGGGAGAGAGAGGGGGGGAGGGAGAAGAGAAAAGGAAGTGGAGCTAGTGTTGTTTCCACCCCCCCTCCCATGTAAAGCATGGGTCTGCTGCCTGCTCCTCTCATTCCAATTCAGGGCAATTTACCATACTCAAGAAGAACGCCCTGTAATCTCCAAGATGGGCTCCGTATTTTTAAATCTATTTTTGAAGAGTGCTCTGCAATCAGAGGCCATTTCCACAGACTCACATGCGGTGGTTAAATTAGAAGCTGAAATGCAAGATGCGTGTCAATAAGAACAGTAATAATGAGCATCTCCCCCACCCCACCCCCAAGCCAATTGTTATGAAAATGGAAAGTTGTTTTGCTTCTTAAAAGAAATTCTCCCAAGTAGGTTGCCTATTAAACTTTCCTTTACGTCTCCCAAGCTTTCTAACGGCGACAGTGGCTGAAGACGGGGAAGTCACACCATTGCTTGTGCCCCTATTCCCTCCATGCCTCCCCCAACTCAAAGCCTCATCCTTGAGCTAGGGAACTCCTGAAAAACAACACTTCAAGCGGGGCAGTCTGGGAGGGGCCAGAATCTCTCCAGTCATCCCACCACCTGGCACAGGTGTTAGAAGAAGCAAAAAGTGGTCGTTCTGCCAGCTGCAGCCTGGTATAGGAGGAGAAACACTGTGTGCTCGTGGGAGGGCAGGGGGAGAAACCCAAGGCACAGTTGACGTGTGGCATGGAGCAATCCCACAATGCAGAAGAGCAAGAACAGCAGCAATTCTCTTTGTGGAGGGGGGGCAGGCAGGAGGAGAGTGTGTGATGGGAGAGGGTACAAAGCTGCCAGCCTGTTAATTTGATTAACTGGCCCCTGTGAAGGGACCGAGATGGCACAGCTGAAGGCAAAAGGTTGACTTTGGCACAGTGGTGATGTTGTCATCACAGCCCACCAGCATCAAGAGCGTGCAAAAGAGAAAAGAATAGATTCAGGCAAGCTGAAAGTGGCCAGGGATAAGTTTCTCTCTCTCTCATAACTAGATCTCGGCGATATCCAACAAAAGTGAATGCTGGCATATGCAGGTCAGGTGAAAGAAAGTGTGGGGGGGGGTTTCCCCACATACAGCATAGTTAAAACTAAGGAATTTGTTCCCACAAGAACATATGATGGCCATCAACTTGGATGGCCTTAAAAGAAGATTGGACAAATCCATGGAGGACAAGGCTATCAATGTCCACTAGCCACGATGGCTTTGTTCTCCTTCTGCTGTGGGAGGCAGAATGTCTCTGAGCTGCGGGGAATCATAAGTGGGGAAAGTGCTGTGATGCTCAGGTCCTGCTTGTGGGCTTCCCATGGGCTTCTGGTTGGCCACTGTGAGAACTGGGTGCTGAACGGGACTAGGCTTTGGCCCAATTGAGCAGGGCTCTTTTTATGTCAGTTTCTCACCCACTCAAGAGCACAACAGTAGCTCCCCTGAAGACTGCTGTTGCCTTTGGGCCCTACTTTTCTGGCTCCCAGGACGCATTTGGTTGGCCTCCGGGGGGAAACAGGATGCCTGGTGAGATGACCTTTGGTGTGATGCAGCTGGGCTCTTCCTATGTCATGTGTCTGGAATTTTCGTCGCCCGCTTGAAGCTCCGTTAGAATGCACATCTTTGATTCTCAAGTTAAAGCTCAAAGGGTGGAATTCATCCTCTTTGCAAACATGTTTCATTTGGGATCGTCCCTCCAAAGAGGAATGCCTTGAGAAGTATTATACATCCCCTTCAGTTTTGGCAAGTCGCTCTTCCTGCCTGTATAACTCCCTGAGGACCAGAAGGTCCCAGGTTTAATCTCTAGAATCTCTATCGTCGAAATGTTTCTTTAGCAGGACCTCCAGGATCTAGGGAGAGCTGAAGCCAGTAAGAACAGGCAGTACTGGGCTAGGTGAGAATAAAGCAACTCCATAGCTCAGGAGTAGCAGACAGGCTTCTCAAGTTCAATCACCAGCACCTCCAGGTTACAAAGGTAGGAAAGACCTCTGCGAGAGACGTCTGGAGAGCCATTCTCAGTCTGTGTAGACTATTCTGGGCTAGCTGGATCTGTCATGTGTTCACAGGTGTTAATTTAAGGGAAATCCGCAAGCAAATCCTCCTAATTTAGAGGCATCAGCCAAGTCAGCTGATTTTGGGGTACCGTGAAAGGGCAGCAATACCAATTATGTAGCAATTGATCATTACTACTGAGAGCACCCCATTTGTAAATTCTGTCTCAGGCAACAAACTAGCTTGGTTAGGCAAGTCTCTCAAAGACTGAGGGTGCATTTTTCTGTCCTCTCTCTGCCCCTCCAACTGAAGGTTCTTCTGTGTGGTCAGCAACTCCCGAAGACACAAGAACCACTCAAGAGCTCCAAAATGCTACATATTGCCTCTAGCCCTGAACAACACCAGCTGACAAACTACGTGAAAATGGCTAACTGCTTTGTTTACAGAAGCTCATTAGTGAGAATATCTGCATTTTGTCGGGAGAAAAAATCTGTTGCCACCTACAGCCCAGTGGAGCCTTCCTATAGCATCAAGGACAGCAGCAGAAAAACAAGCTGAAAAGTAAGATGGGATGACTCATATACATGAAGTGCTCTTATGACTGGGAGGCACACTGAACAGGGTTAGATGGTTCAAACACTCCCCCAAAACTGCAGAGAGAGCAAAGGAGGCACTACCATATCGTGAGCAGGAAGGAAATCAATTTGATAAAAATTCCCCAAAAATTCATTGGATGGCTTTCAAACCACTATCCACCTCTCCAGATCACAGAGTGTGGTTGGGGACATGGGAACTCCTGTATGCAGGTCACATCTGGCCAAAATTTCATATTGCCCTCTGGGGGGCCCAGTTGTCCAGGGGAGCAGAAAGGGCTTTGATGTCCTATGTAAGGCATTTGAGTGGGAAATGTCTCAGTAGACCTGTGATCCCGGCAAATATGCAAAAAGTAGCCTATGCATTTTGCAACTGCATGCATGAAGTTTTGGGGATGCAATTGCATTTTTTAAATCTGAAAATTTAAGGAGCTGCAAGGCAGAGCTTGCAGTTCAGCTGCTCGTTGACTTTATTTACATGCTTCTGCTGAGATGACTGAGTGGTGGTTGCTGATTTTCCTTTTGCATAGAGGGTGCTGGAAAACTCTCTTTTCAAGCATTACAAAAAATAAAATCTATGAAGAAAAATGGAAGGTGAAACAAGTGGCTTTTCTAAGGATGCCTCTGTTTCCATGGGAAATAGCTTTGCGGGTATGTTGGCGCATAATTCTGTGTGTGTTAAGGGAGTGTTTATGTGTGGGTTTGACCCTGCTCACTTTGGGAATGTGGCCCCGGGCAACTTTCCACCATGGTAATGTAGCCCCAAAAAACATTATCCTACCCACCCAAGAGAGTCTGGGTAAGAGGAGGGAATCAATGCTGGCATGGGTAACAATGGTTCTTAGAAGACACCTAGCAGCATCACAACAAGCAACATCCGAATGTAAGAACAGTGAAAGCTAGATCAGACTAAGGCTCATGTAAGCCAGCAGCCAGCCTTCCCCTTCACAATGTGCTAGATATACAAAGGTCTTGTGTACTAGACCTAAACATGGACCATCACGGGGGCACGCCACATACCTGATAGGGTGGTCCCCACACGTCTTGGGGCGCTCCATGACAGACACCCACTTGTCGTCGTAACTGAAGAGGGAGAGGTCGAGGTAGGGGCTGCCACTGTAGGACTGAGCGCTGATGGGAAGCTGCCCCAGCAGCCGCCGCACGGCTTCCGTGTGCCCACCGTACTTTGCATTCACAATGGTGTCCTTGAATCTGAAGGCAACAGGCAGGTTGGCGGTATAGAGATGAAAGGCACGAAACAAAAATCACCACCACCCACAACGCTAAGTCTTAGCCTTGGAAGAAGCAGAGATAGAAAGATACAAAAGGAAGGGAGGGATCCATGTTTCAATGGAGCACATCCCTGCCACGTCAAGCTAAAAATATCTGAGGAAGCAGCAATGGGAAGAAACTCTGACCAAGGCATTAGAAAGTTGCTGTACAGAGCACTGTCGCATCCAAACCATACATTTAAAGAAATATGAGGCCCCTTTGACAGCCCTGGCTTCCCCCAAAGAATCCTGGGGACTGCAGTTTCTTCAGAGTGCTTAGAGCAGGGGTCAGCAAGGTTTATCTTGCCTGGACCGAATCGGTCCCGCGGAGATCCCTCTGTGGGCCAGATCGCACGCGCACGATTTTCAGTGTCTGCATGTGCACAGATGCAATTTTTGGCATCTGCGTCTGTGCAGACGCAATTTTGGGTGCCGCAGAAGTGAGTTCCTGCGCCGTGCTGCTTTAGTGCAGCACATGAGCAGGCAGCTCGGTTCAGAGGCGGCTCGGGGCCAGTCAAACGACCTCCGTGGGCCACTTCTGGCCTATGGCCCTTAGGTTGCTGACCACTGGCTTAGAGTTTATAGAAGACCCCTTGCTGAGCCACAATTCCCAGCACTTCTACTGCAATTTCAAGGGCTACTGCAATTTCAAGGGTTTCTTTTTTGGCGGGTGTGTGTGTGTGAAAAGCTAGCAGTTTCATATGCCAGTTACAGTGGTACCTTGGTTGTTGAACTGAATCCTTTCTGGGAGTCCGTTCGACACCCGAAATGGTTCAAAAACCAAGGCGCAGCTTCCAATTGGCTGCAGAAGCGTCTTGCACTCAAGTGGAAGATGCGCCAGACGTTCAGCTTCCAAAAAATGTTTCCAAACCGGAACACTTACTTCCAGGTTTGCGGCGTTCGGGAGCCAATTTGTTCGGCAACTAAGCCGTTCGAGAACAAAGGTACGACTGTATAGCTGGAGTTGGGGACCCTTTGACCCTCTAGATGCTGTTAGACTCCCAAGTCCCAGCAGCCCCAGTCAGCAAAGCCAATGGTCAGGGATGATGGAAGATGTAATCCAACAACATCTGGTGAGCCAAGGATTCCCCACTCCAGAGTTACACAGTATCTTTTTGCTGACAAACAACCTGCATTCTAAGCAGCAATTGTTTGGTGAAACTGTGTTCAAAGTGTGCTCGTTCGCTGGAAGCACATTATGGGGTCCTCAGTGAGAAGATGAGTGATAGAGGAGAAGCTTCCCTGAAAGACAGTGAGCCTATCCTTACAGATCGTTCCCCAGCAACAGCTAGCCACTGGTGTACTACTCTGGCCAAGTTCTAAGGTGCAGACTCACTTTACACAGGGCAACAGTAAGACTCAACATGTTCAGGCAGGACACCAAACAAACTGAGTGGGAGTCCTAGAGCACTGTCCAAAATCCTCTGCAACAGACCTGAGGTTCCATGTCAAAGCAGATGTCTCCAGGGAGGGACCCCAGCAGATAAAATCAATGTGGAAGGAGGTGTCCTGATGCTACCGCATGAGTCAATCAATTAAAGGCACTTGCATTCAATTTAGGTGCCTTTTTATTTTGCTTCTTCACAACAAGATAAAAGTACATTAAAAAAAGCAGCACAGCCACTGCACATTGTTGAAAGGAGAAGCAACCTTTAATATATTCTTTTGCAGATTCCATTAAAGTAACACATGCAAACCAAGGCAGTTTTTAAAGAAATCCTAAGAGCTAGCAAAAATGGGGCCCTGCACCTATGATGGTAACATACAAGAGTCAGAGGATTACTCTGCAGTCTTGCTGAAGGCAGAGTCAAGTTTGGATACTTGAGGAAGGTTCACTAAGCATAAAACGAACCTTTTAAAAGTAATTCATATACAATGTAAAAGGCAGCAGGTGAAACATATAATCAGCAACAGGCCACAACTCATCCAAAAGCGTGAATAAAAAGATTAATCTTAAACTGGCACTAAAGCCAGGTAGAGTTGGCACCAGATGCATCTTCGTGGGGAGGGCATTCCAGAGGCAGGGATGCACCACAGAGAAGACCATTTCCCACATCACCACACCTTCCACTTCACCTGGCAGTGCAACCACAAGAGGGCCTGCCATGCTGACCTTTAAGCCTGGACAGGTTGGTACAGATAAAGGTACTGTGGCCCAAGTCATTCAGGGGGTCCTGTGTCAATGTTAACACTGTGAACTGAGCTCAGAAACACACAGGCAACCTGTTCAGGTTCTTTGGAACTAGTGCTATGTGGTCCCAATGGGTTGTGCCACTCAGCCAGCTACATTCTGGATGAGCTGCAGTTTCCAGACAGTCTTCAAGAACAGCCCCAAGTAGTGTGTGTTACAGTTATCCAGTCAGGTGGCTACTGCAGCATGAAACAGTGTTTTTGTGCTACAATTAATAAGTAATTAGTAAGTAATTTTCAGTTGCATATGCATGTTATCCCAATATTTGCCTCTTGGGGTACAGGAGGTAATCCGCTCCAACCTAGGCCACCATTTGCCCATGGCTCCACTCCCGTTGTACACACTATGGTTCTGGTTGAGGGACCTCAGTCTAGTAAAAAACAACAACGAACAAACCCTTGCCTCTGCTATGAACTTACAAGCTGGCCTTAGGTAACCCAGTACCCCCAGCCTCACTTTCCACAATATGAGGACAAAACTACTGGCTTACCCTATAAGGCTGTTTAAGGATGACTGATAATGTATGTAAAGCACTTGGAACATGTTAAAGCACTACAATGAGGGTATCTAAAGTGCTGACAGACTACAACTCCCATTCTCCCTGACCACTGGCCACATTAGCTGGGGTAATGGGAGCTGAAGTCCAGCAACATCTGGGGGGCACTATGTTGGTTATCCCAGAACTACATAAATGCTTGCTGTCATCATTATCATTCCTATTATACCCATGTACACCAATGGCACTATAGCAATAAATTTAGTTTAACCAGAGAGCTCGATATGAAGCCAGTTTTTCGCCTCTCCAGCTTCACTGGCTTTGCAAACTGACTGGGCAACCATGCACGGTCCAAAGGGCTCACCGGCGTTGGATCTGCCTGGCGAAATTGTTGCTTGAGGCCGAGCAGGGGAACTGGACCGCCTCGCTGTGCAGTGTGGCATTCCGGAAAAGGTCGCAGAAGTTCTCGAAGAGTTCCAGCAGCTCGTCCGACGTGTTCTCAAATACAGCAATCACCTCGGTGGTCACCATGTTGTACACAACAAAAAACGAAGGCTGAGCAGGAGGAAGCAGAATTGACGTCAGCCAGCTGAGCCCAGGTGGAAGACACAAAGGCCATGTTAAGTGAGCAACTTGCACCACCAAGCCATTAAACCAACCAAGATACGATGCTGTTTTGTGGCTGGATGGGAGGATTCTGCATTTCACCTGCCAAGTTCATTGTAACTTCCAGCCATCGCAATGGGCGACAGATTAACTATGCTATTAACTACCGTCAAATTATTAACAAAGCAATGTGAAATTCCTCCAATTCTTGTTTTGTTTATTTCAAACTGGACACATCAATGTTGCTGTTTCCTTTCTCTGCCAAACATGAAATGTTTTTTCAGAGTGGCAGATTTAATTTTAGCTCCTGCTGCGAAGTGATTTTTAAGCCAGGTGGTGGCTGGCAATGAATTATTTTCCCCTGTATATGCAGAAAGGTGAGAGTTGGTAGGCTTTATTTGGGGAGGGGCTGGGGGGGACACTTATTTTCTTTTCCTGTCTTAATATTTCCAACATGCCGAGAGGAACCTTTTAAAGCGCATTGTGCTCCACTGTTGCCTGTAAATGGTGTACCCTTCAGGGTCCCCCGCTGCTGGGGAAATGAAAGACTGAGCGCCATTAACTATTTCTTTTGAATTACTTGCGTTCTTATCCAAGAATGTCCAAAAGCTGCATTTTGGTTTTGCAATCAGTCACCTAGGTGCTTGTGAAGAAATCTTTCCCTAGGTAACATGCTATGGACAAAAGATCAGGTCTATGTTTATTTCTGCATGTCTACAGACCGATTACTCAAGTCTGCACTGAGTTTGGCATCTCCAGAATCCTTGCATCCCCTTTTCTTTTTATAAAGGAAAAGTTTCAAGTCCATGAAAAGTCATGGAGGGGGGAAGGAATGCAGCTTGTTGTTATAGCCACCATGCCAGGGTCAATTGCCTGCTACTGGCAATCTAAGCCCTACCCTCCACATTCTCTCTTGCTGTTTCTCTGCTACTCCAATCACTGTCAAACATGGAGTTTTTTTTGCAGGGAGGTGGAGAGTGAAATCCTGAAAGCACCATCTAGCTTTCCTGGACCTGCATATTCAACCTTTAGTGGAACCAGTGACATCTCAGATGTCTGTCTCCAACAGATCTGTCTCCAACAGATCAGGTATGGGGAACCTTTGACCCTCTAGATACTGCTGAACTGAAACACTGATAAGTCTCTGGCCATGCCTGATATGGCGGATGGGAGTTGTACTTCATCAACACCTGAAGGCTCAAAGGTTCCCCACCTTTACAATAGGTGCTTGCAACTTTTGGACGACCAAATTTCACTTAACACTCTTTATCATAATAAATGTGAAAGACCACTAATGGATCCCACACAACAACTAAGACCAACACTTCACATTGATTACTCAACAAAATGTATCTGGAAGTGCCCAAGGACCCTATTGATTTCCCCTTGGGAAAACTCTAATCTTGCAGGGAAGTGCTAGGTCCAACCCAGTGTCTTACAGATGCAGCTTATTGACCTCAAAAAGGCAGGATTCTGGGGAGTGCAGAAGAAGCCCCAATAAATACCTCTCCCTTCTTTCCTGGAAAAACACAACCTTTTCAGACAGCTTATTCCATTGATTCTAAAGGCCCTTACATCCCAACATTGAGCCTACCCATAAGTTGCTTCTTGTCCTGTGTATAACAGAGCTCACATTCTCCAATAGCCTTTCCAACATATATGTTAACTTTAATCAGCATGCGCTTCCATTAGCAATTCTAATCTGGTATCCAGGTTACATATATCCAGACCCTTTTATGTCCTTTCCACCCACCCATCCCCCACAGCTTGCATACTAGACTTTGTCTCATTCTTGCAATATTCCTATGAATTCCTACACAAAGCCAGTCCTGTCAACCAGTACTGTACACAGCAGCAGAGATATTAATTGATCTCAGTAGAGTTGTAGGTTGAAAAAAGAAAGTGACAAGTCCACACGAAGCGTTGTGGCTAAAGACGCATTTGAACCCATGGCTCAGCCTAACCCTGACCACTGCACCGTACCAGCCCTCTTCCTAAGAGAAACATTTGTATACAAAGAACTGTGGGCCTTTTGTGACCCATTGCCACACTACTAACTTGCATTCATCTTGCAGGCCTACGCACACTTTACCAGGGAGCAAGCTGCATAGCACTTACTTCCAGGTAAAGGTGGACAAAATCAGACTGTATGGTTGTCATTCATGGAAACTCTTACACCAGTCATTTATCTGAAAAGGTCAATCAATGGACTCAACGGTCAAATTTAGCGACTGAAGAGCAAGGTGACTGACTGCAAGATAACAACCCAAATTGATCAACCAGCACAAAGATCAACCTTTTCAATCCCCTGACCCATTTTTAAGTCTAACCTGCAACACAGGCCTACTTTCAATGTCCATGGTTCCCTGTGTCCACTTTTCTTCTTCCTCTCTCACTCGCTGCCCTTCTCCTCTCCCTGTCTCTTAAAAACACTTCAGTAGAAAATAAAATAAAATTGTGGTCTATCTGCTGGGACCCATTGCACAACTGAGTGAGTCACAACCAAACTAATGACTAATGAACCTAAACTCCTAAGCCCCTATAACAGATCGTAAAATGATAGAATCATGGTAATCAATGAAGCAACTGTTAAAGGCAGCACTTTAAAACAATTTATGCAGGAGTTTAAACCCACCAGAGATTAAAGAGAGAACAGTGCTGGTGCTAAGCCAGCCTCCCTGGAAAATGAATTGCACAAGTGGGGTGCCACAAGGCCCTGAGAAACCCCAGCCATGGCCCAGCCTACCAGATGTTAGGTTGACAAGAAGACAGTGTTCCTCAACCTTAGGTCCCCAGATGCTGCTATCTTCCAAATCAAATCATGCCCAGCCAGCTTAACCAATGGTCAGGGATGGTGGGGACCCCAAGATATTATTTTTTTTAAAAAGTATTAAGTCTCAGTGGCAAACAACCACATAGTGCAATTCTGTTCTGTGTTTTTTTTCTTACATTTATACCCCACCTTCCATCCATCGTGGGACCCAAGGCAGCATACATGTGGCTCCCAGGTGCTCATGCACCCACCACTGAACAAACCCAGACCTGAATAGCTTCTGCAAGGTGGCGGCCCCATGTGCCCTCAGATCATGCCCTATATTAGAACATTAATGCTGCCATTTGACTTGCAGCTAATAAGAGTTTCTTAGCTCCACTGACATCTTTCCACTTTGCAACCTACTGCAGTTCTGTTTCATGTTGTATCCCTCATCGCTCATTGTGCATGGGTGAGGGTATGAAGAAAGTATCAGTGCTGAGCAGGTTGATGTGGGGGAACAGACCCCATTCCCGGACACCTGGGTCCCAGGTCGTGTCGGGCTTGAAACACAAGCTCCAGCACTTTGATTTGTGCTTGGAAATGGAAAAAGGACCCTCGTGCAACTATTCCAACAGGCAGCAAAGACTGGAGTAGCCAGGAAGGACTGTAATTCAGTGGCTTTGCATACAGAAGGTCCAAGGTTCATTCCCCAGCCTCACCAGGTAGAACTGGTAGAGACTCCTGCTAGAAACCAGCCTCTGCCAGTCAGTGTAGATAATACTGAGTTAGATGGGCCAATCGTCAGACTTGGCATAAGTAGCTTTGTATGTTTCTGTGAAGCACTGTTTCAACCCATTCTTGGCTTGGCTGGGAAGGGAAAAGAGAGCTCCAGATGAATCAAAGTAACAGGCCATCAATCTTGCCTAATGGAAGGAGAGGCATGACTCACAATTGGCTGGGGTGATTTAAAGTAATAATAATAAAGGAGCAAGGGGGGGGAATCAAAATTTTAACCTTTCTACACCAATCAACATCACAAACAGGAAAGAAAAGAAAGAAACTAAAAACAGCCCAACCCAGCAGGATGAACATGCATGCCTCCTTTCTTCAGCTGTTTCCCACTCTGTTTAATAGTACAGGGCTCTTGCTCCATTTTGGAAAGGAAGCTGCTGCAGATTTCATAAGAGACAGTTGTGAAAGAGTCACCATCAGAATGCTACAACATAGGCTCCCCAGCTGAGTGGTTGCAATGAGAAGCCACATTTTTATAGGTAGCCTTTTTGGCTGAAAAGCAGCTACAAATGTTTTCATTAAATAATATATACGATTGCAGGTTTTTCCCCTTTTCAGAGACTAGTGAAATTTACATTTGAGGACACTATTTCCTTTTGTTCCAGCAGCCAAACAGTAGCACTTGGTCCATATAGGATTCAAGTTTATATGTTTCTAAAACCTTTGTTCAATGAGCGTTCAGGGACACAATGGTAAATATAAATACACAAACACACAACACTGCCACTGAAGCAAAGTGAAGAGGTGCAATAGGAACAGGGCTCCAGGAATATGAATTATATTGAGTGCAGGTTAAATGACAACTTTAATTTAAATTCTTGTAACTGAAGGAAGGAGAAATGTCATTTTTATTTCAAATATCCTGGACTGGTTCTAAGGGTTAGGAACCTGACTAGGAACTTGACTATATAAAATACAGCGGCTGGAGGGATAAGCAACATGGGAGGGCTATTGCCTTTGTCCCTGGATGCTTTCCAGAAGCATCTTGCCAGCTACTATTGGAAAGAGGGTGGTGGAATAGAATGACCCTCAACCTGATCCAGGAGCTCTCTCCTTGTTAGGTAAAGGTAAAGGGGTCCATTAGGTCCAGTCATGGCCGACTCTGGAGTTGCGGGGCTCATCTCGCTTTATTGGCTGAGGGAGCCGGTGAACAGCTTCCGGGTCATGTGGCCAGCATGACTAAGCCTCTTCTGGAGAACCAGAGCAGTGCACGGAAACGCCGTTTACCTTCCTGCCGGAGCGGTACCCATTTATCTACTTGCACTTTGACATGTTTTCAAACTGCTAGGTTGGCAGGAGCAGGGACCGAGCAACGGGAGCTCACCCCGTCATGGGGATTCGAACCGCCAACCTTCTGATCGGCAAGTCCTAGGCTCTGTGGTTTAACCCACAGCGCCACCCGCGTCTCTCTCCTTGTTACTCACACACAAAAACTCGAAACAGCATGCTGACGGACAGCCTGGTCGACAGGATTTCTAAGAACAATATCAGAGTTTCAATATCCTGCCAGAATAGCTCCCACAAAGGCGAGCTCCATACCTGTGAAGGGTCTGTCACCCGTAACGTGACCACGTCTTCACTTGTGTATTTGATGAAGAGATGGTTCTCATCCAAGAGCTGCATCTTCCACATGCGCAGCTGCCTCAGCTGGTCAAAATACTGGAAGAACCTCCTTTTAGCTATAGCACTCCCATCCTGTTCTGCCCTTCGCCACAAGTAGACCAGCAGCCTGTGCTTCAGAGAATTTATGAACGGTTCTTTGTATGGGTTCGCCATGCCTGTCTGAGAATCCCGCTGAACCTCTGGATAGACAGCAGAGAGTGTGAGGAGGTCATCTTCATAGCAAAAGCGGCCTATGGTTCGTACATCAATAAAGGTGCCCTCAGGTGTTACCTGAAATACATGGATGGTTTGCTGCTGTACAGACAGAATGGCCAGGATATTTTTATATAGGTAGAGCCCTTGGTTGTGGGACAATATGACTTTATCACATTTGAACGTCCTGGTATCACAAAGCCTGCCTGTGTGAAGGTCTATGATGTGCAAAGAGTAATCTTCCAAAGGTGACCGGGGGTTAGGTGTCACTGATTCACTGTTGCGGTAAACCTCAAAAAAGGGAGGGTGGGGCTCCTCAGGCAAATAGGCAGCAGAGCCAACAATGACATAGCGACAATCATCTGTGAACAAGCTACATTCACGGTTCAAGTGCTCGCCATTAGAGGCCACGTTGGTAATGTGAAGGAGGACAAAGAAACGTTCAAAGAGTCGCCCACGGATGTTGATGGACCGCTGGTCATTGCCGTTAGCCAAGATCTCCCCATCGTAGCCCTGGAGGAGGTCCTCTGCTGCCTGGCACCCTTGATACTCATAGATCTCCAGTGAAGTCTGATCTGAGGAGAAGGCAATGAAGTACCTTCCATCAGGGGAGAACTTCCGTAAGAAGCAGGGTGGTTTTTCAACATTGACCACGGTAAAATTGGGGAAGACATTTTGGTGGAAGATGCGCACCTGGTGCCAGTGGGTGCCAGTCTTGCCAGAGGTGATCCTTCGACGTTCTAGACGGTAGATGACGTTCTGGTTCTGGATCCGACGAGGCCTGATAGTTGGGGCCTCATGATCCATAATATCTTCAAGTGGAAAAAGTCCCAGGGTGGCTAGAATCTGGCAGAGTCAAAAGGCATATCATGCTGCCCAAGAAAAGAAGGGTGTGGTTGCTGTGAGAATAAAATTGTAGAGAGATCAAAGGAAACAGAAGTCAGTGTTAGATTCACACACAGCATCTCTTTAAGAATAAATGTATCACGGCTCATATAACAATAACAAATACTTTTGCTACATCTAGTATGTCAAATGGGGTGAGGTAGGACTCAGGCCCATGAAAGCTTATGCAACAACACACCTGTTAGCTTAAAGGTGGCACAACACTCTGTCCCATGGATGGAAAACCTATGGCTCTTGAGATGTTGCTGGACTCCAACTCCCATCAGTCCCAGCAAGCACAGCAAATGGTCTGGGATAATGGGATTTGTAGCTACATCTCAAAGTTCCCCATCAATGTTCTGCCCAGTTCTTTGTATTGAGTACCAAAGGAATGTCTGCCTACCCACTGGCCAACAGCTGTTTACATGTATGCAATATACAAGGCCTGAAGAGGATACCTGGGCTTTAACAAAACACGTTTGAGAACTGAGCATTGCCTTATTCTTTGTGGGAAAGCCAGAATTGTAATAATACATTTGTTACATTTAAAATTTTGCAAGAAGGAATTGGTGACTAAGAAAACTTCTTCCCACTTCAATATTTCTATGCACTCTTGCAGTAAAGTAACAGATGATCTGGCCCAACAGAACAGCTAGGCAGCTATATCTGTTAAAACAGTGTCTCAGGAAATATGAGCTGAAATGAAACATGAAGATTCTCTGGAGTGACATGAATGTATCATGAAAATGAATGCCTATTATACAACAAAAAGTACTCTAGAAACAACAACAGCACAGAACCAAATTACAATCATTCTAACATATTATACTAGAAGCAAGCTTTATCAAAAAATATCTTCATGGTGCCATACAAGAGATGCTGAGGTTAGAGATGACAGCAAAACTGCAGAAGCATGGGTTTCCAATGCTTTTCAGAGTTCAGGGCTCCCTCTTTTACAACTTTATCTTTGCATTGACCACTAGGGAAAGGATTAGGCTGAGTCCAGTGAGTGGCCCAAGGTCACCCAGCCAGATTCAGAGTTCAGTGGGGATTTAAATCCTGGTCACCTGGGTCCAAGTCCAAATACTCTTATCTAGTGTTCCCCAAAGATCTGACAGAAAAGTGTGCCTTGGTAGAACTAAATGTGTGTGTGTGTAGCATTTATGAAAATAGCCATAGCACCGTGGCAGTGCACATACTTTGAATTCAGAGTCCCAGACTCAAACACTCACATCTGAAAATAGGTTTGGCAAGATCTGTCTGCAACCTTGGCGAACCAATGGTTTGATTCAGTATAAGGCACCTTCCTAGGTAATCAGCCACCTGCAATGACACTCAACCCACCTTGGTTCCTACAAAAAGTCACTGTTCCGGGCCCGCCAAAAGCTTGGAAGGAGGAAAGGAAGGCAAAACCTAGCAAAGCAACTCCTGCAGAGATGCAACAGGCAGTCTCCTCTAAGGATGGGCAGTTCTGTGCATCTCTATATTGTGAAGCAGACATGGGCAAGCAGCAGATGCTGGTTCGAAGGAAACACGGGCTGAGGACAGCCAAGCCTGAACAGAGACAGTGGGCATCCTCCTCCTCTCCACGGGTAGCTGTGTGACTTCTGGGAGCTTTCAACCATCAGATTTATTTATGAATTGTTTTAAAAGGGGGCACCCTCGACACGATACTGGCTAAATTGCTCAAAGATGGTCTTTCAAAGGGATTTCTAGGTGCTGCTTCCCCGGGTAGTCACTGAACGTTTCAACTTCCTTGCTATTTTGGGCAGGTGCGGACCCGAAGCCACGGCGAGGGGCGAGGGGAGCAGCGCGAAGTCTCCCCTCCCAGCCAACCCTTCCCGCCCCCACACTCGGGCTTCCGCGGGTGCGACGGAAGGGTCGAGCAGGGAGAGGTCCCGCCTCGCCGCTTCCCACCCAGGCCTCCCCTGACGGGGGAAGAACAGCAGCCCGCCTCCACAACTCACTCCGCGGAGGCCGCCGCCATGTTTCCGCCGAAGAAAGAGGAGGAGGAGGAGGAGAGGGTGAGTGACGTCAGGCACTACCAACGAGTCCCCATAGCCTACCGCACCGCGAGCGGAAGGAGCGTAGCCGCAGTAAAGCGGAGACTTACCCAGGAACCACCGAGCGACAAGCGTCAGAGGACAGAGTGTCGACCGCTCTGGTTTGGTTTTCGGCGGCTGCTGTTCTCTGTGTTTCCGCAGCGGCCCCTGGCGGACGGAGGTCGCGAGGGTGGCGCCTCGGTACCCCGCTGCCTCCGCCTCCTCCCGCTTGGCTGCCATGGCAACCGCATCCTCGCCTAAGGCGGCGCCATGGCAACCAGCTTCCTAGGAGGGAGGGCTCCTCGCGGCAAACGTGGAGCATCCCTCTCTCCTCCCCATGGCGACTTAGTAACGCCTGCTCCGCCATACCCTGGCAGGGGGCATGAGCACCACCATGTTCTCCACTGACGTGGCCACCATCAGAGCTGGGGCTGCGTACGGTACCCGCCCCATAAAGGAGCCTTTGGTGGGCCATTTCTGCCCCACCTCCCGGTGCAGCATGGGGAGGAGGAAGCCTGATGCCAGTCCCCCCCCCCCCGAGGTTGCCATGCCAACTGCTCTCACCAGTTGGGTGCCTTGCCACAGCCTAGTAGGGTGCCATGGCAACCTTAGGTACCATGGCAACGTCTCTCCCCACAACCAACCACAAAGCACACACATCTCCACAAACAGGTCATGAGGGCAACAATGACTCTACTGCACCCCAAAAAAGGCACTGGGACACCCCAGATGCACAGTGGGACTACTACTAAACCGGTGGGAGCCTCCAGGCACTGTTACAACTTGTTTCCCCGGAAAAGCTTCAGCATGCATGTCAGAAATAATTTCTGATGTCCAGACGTCGTCCCTGTGGGAACAGTACAAAAACTGATTTTCTCCCTCAGGATGAAAAAATACATACTTACATATCTTCTGAGAGGTCCCTGGCTTTGAAGCTTGAGAGAATACACAGACTATTCCATTTTCCACTGAAGAAACTCCTAAACAAATACTGCAAGCTCTTTGCACTGCAAATTTTTGGGGGGCTTGTTCTAAGGCAAGAGTGGGCAACTTCAGGCCCAGGGCCAAATGCGGCCCTCGGGGCTTGAATATCTGGCCCTCTCCCTAGCCACACCTTTCACCGGTCCTGCTTTGTATGCTCCTCAGGTGTTTTTTCTGCTGGCTGGACTATGTCCTTGAACTCAGCTAATGCCTCTTACTTGCCTAGATGGAAGGAGAAAGGGGAGTGTAGAAACTGGCTTACTGTAACATGTCCATACATTGCTTTGGCTACTTTTGCCTCTGGCCACACATGCCACTGGTATGTGCCCCCCATCCAGAAGGCTGCACTGCAGGAAATGTAGCCCTCAAACCGAAACAGGTTCCCCATCCCTCTTCTAAGGTGTGCACACTGCCTTCACATGGGGCATTGACCTGACCTCTTGGGCCTCATTATTGTTCCACCTGTTTGTACCCTGGGACATACCCAACAGTGTGCATCACAGGGAAATTGTAAGCTGAGGATGGTAAGCTGCCTTTTCACTTCCCTGTCATGACCAACTTTATCTTGAGAAGTCCTTGTTTAGTTTTCTGGGAACTCCAGGGTTCTTGGAAGTGGAACACAGTTTGAAAACCATGTTGACCCTTGCTTCTGGATAGATCTCAGTTTTTACTAACCATTTGAGTTGTTGGGCAGTTGCCTCTTTTGTCGTCGCTGCGGCTTTGTGATGGGAAACATAGCTTCAGTTCTATCGGCTGAATGTCTTCCAGTTCTTAAAAGAATGAAATAGCCTTGGCCATGGCCAAATTTTAGGCCTTAACAAACAGCACCCATGCCAAAGGCATATAGTAATTGGCAATGTAAGCAATACATTATATCCGTGATAGAGAGCCTGTGATCCGCCAGATAGTGACACAGAGAGGAGCAAGGAGAGAATTATGATGGCACAATGAGTGTTAGCCAAACAGGTTACTGATTACCAATTACTGTTTTTAATATATTTTTAGAAAATTTTGTGGTTGAAATGCCTAACTGAACTAAAATGGTATGTTTATCCAGTTGTCAATTACCACCAATATTGGTAACAAGAGACAAGGACATAGAATGCCTTTTCAATGCTTTATTCACACTTTGATTAATACAGTTCTCAGATGGAATACATTACTTCAATGTACACAACCTATGCTAAAAATAATCCAACATATTTAGCAAACAGTATAGTATCCCAGCACAGCAGAAATCTAGACTATTTGGTTGATGAAGTCAACTAATAGGTAGGAGGAGTCTTACCAAACCAGAAGGTGTTGTGTGATCAGATGCAATAAAGTCTCCTCGTAAATGGTCAGTTGTGACTGAATGCTCCCAAAAGCCCCAATACTTGCCATTTTAGAAGTTTGCTCCAACCACTCTTGCTCTGGGAATCTCCCACCCTTTTGCTACCATATGGCATACAAGAGACTTGTGCCCAACTTGTGTTTTCTCCAATGTGTCAAGTCTTCATACTATCTTGTTTTGACTAAATGTATGACTAAACTTGTTTTTTTACTATTTAATTTGTTTTTCTATCACCCTTCTACATATCTTTCCACTAGCAGCCCTAACATCTTTCCTGTTTCCTGCTGTCATCTGCTCATAAATGGCCATGCTTCAGTTGACCTGACCCATCCCAACTATTTCATCATCTATATCCTTAACTTACCCCACAAGTACTTTCACTGGAAGCCTTTCCCATAGCTGGTATCTTTCCAATATCATTTTTAAAGGCTTCCTATCAAAAGCATATTTCTGAAGTCTTTCTTTTGAAGTCCTCCCTAATATCATGCATTTGAAGCATCACAGTGGATCAGTTACCCTCTCAAAAGCTGCTAAGGACTTTCTTGATGGCTTTTGCAACCAACATGACCCAGCACTCCTCAATCAAAGATGGCCACATGCTCTTGATTAACGGAGCTTCAAGTTCATCTGCTAGTCTTTTATCTGTCTGATTTTCTTCTTAATCCAGCATGTTAGAGAAATAAAAGCTATAATGAGTCCTATTTCAAGGACACAAATCAAAATCACTCAGGGAGAATGGTGTGGTGCGCACACACACAGACAGTCAGAGAGAAAAAGAAAGAGAGAGAGAGTGTTCTATGCAATCTTGTAAATTCTGCCCACTTTTGGCTCTGGCCCTACCTACTGCATGTGCCCTCCCCCCCCCCAAAAAGTATCCCCAAGGGAATGTGGCCCTCAGCAGAAAATAAAAGGTTCCCCAAGCATTGCATAGGCTACAAAGGCTTTTACAAACAGTTCTTACAAACTGTTCCACCCCTGCACATGCAGGTAATGGAATATAAGAGCTACTACACGTGCATGACATCATTTTGGATACCTTTCTATGTAAGTGGTCAATAAACACTTGCAGAGGGTAAGAAAAGAAGTATCTCTGATTCTGTGCTTTTAAATAGGCATATATTACACAGAATCAAGCACCATCCACCTAGGAAAATATTCCTTTCATGATTTGTCTAGTTAGACAAATTGCAGGAAAAAAGACTGTTATTCAAATAGGCATGCTGAACCAAAGGATCGGGACATGGTGTTTAGGGTACAATCCTATGCTCCAGATATGGCAGCTGAGGAACTTTAGGATCTGGAAGAAGCTCCTACTCTGGTGTATCCAGAGATATGCCTCTACTAGGGAAAATAAAGGTAAAGGTAAAGGGACCCCTGACCATTAGGTCCGGTCGTGATCGACTCTGGGGTTGCGGCACTCATCTCGCTTTATTGGCCGAGGGAGCCGGCATACAGCTTCCGGGTCATGTGGCCAGCATGACTAAGCCACTTCTGGTGAACCAGAGCAGCGCACGGAAACGCCGTTTACCTTCCCACCGGAGTGGTACCTATTTATCTACTTGCACTTGATGTGCTTTCGAACTGCTAGGTTGGCAGGAGCTAGGACCGAGCAACGGGAGCTCACCCCGTTGCGGGGATTCGAACTGCTGACCTTCTGATCGGCAAGTCCTAGGCTCTGTGGTTTAACCCACAGTGCCACCCACATCCCTAGGGAAAATACACCAGTGCAATTTCAGAAAGAAAGCAGCTGAATGTTACACCTGGGTGGTTATCCTCACCACCCAGGCAGTTCTGCTGTGAAGGACCCAAAACAGTGGTAATGTGTGTGATAGGAACATAGGAAGCTGCCTTGTACTGTTGGGCCATTGGTCCATCTAGCTCAGTATTGTCCACTCTGACTGGCAGCAGCTCTCCAAGATTTCAGACTGTGGTCTCTCCCACAGAGAGCAGAGCCAAGCAGAGACACAGCCCTTCCCAGTCAAATCCAGGTTGCACCCTAGACTCTTCCAACAAGGCCCTACAATGGCATTATGTTCTGCTGCACTGTTGCAGTGGGACATGGTTGGGCACAAATGGAGCACCACTATTTAATGGAGAGCCAATAACATCACTTCTGAGGGCATACCTCTGAGTCCACCAGAACTCTTCAACAGACTGCATGTTACACAAAGCAGAAGAGGCACGCATGCAGGGGTGTGGTTTGGAGGCTGACTTGGAGCTGAAGCCACAATGTCTTCATTGGTCAAAAATTCAAAATGACCTACAACACTTGGGTGTGTGTGTTAAGGATCTGGACAACTGGCTAAAAAAGGTTAATCATTGCTGGTCTAAAGCTCTCCAAGAAATGCTTCGCTGCAATATTTGGGCCATTTTAAAAGTGATGTGATCTGGACTTACGAAGGTCTCCAAAATTTATAATGTTTGTGATTCATGTAGGGCCCACATTGTAGACTATTGGGATTTCATGCCTTGTGAAAACAGAACAGCAAAAGCCACTTTGCTGTCTGTTCTGTCAACAGATCGAGATTTTCATAAGTTTGGGAATAAGTGTTGCAACTTGAATTCTTCTTTCAGTGCTTGAGAAATATGTATTTTAGTGGGAGGTTAGACAAATCAATATCCCTGCTGTTTACTGAGTGTTTGGATCCAACTTAAAACTCCATGGGTTCCCCTGCATTGACTGAAAGTAGCTGAAATCAAAGAGTTCCATTTTTGGAATGTTATGAAATAAGACAACCATGGGACCCAGCATGGTGTTAGCAACCCTAGGAACAACCAGTTCGAGATCTGCCTTGCTGTCACAGTAAATAACCAGCAAACTTTTCTCCATCCCATCCCATTCCTCCCGAGCCTTTTCAATTATTGGTGGGAGGCCTATTTACTCTTGACCTCATGCCTAGCGTTGTTGACATGAAACAAGATTTCCTACATCTGCACACATACAACCATATCTTCTTGTTAGGATTCCTATTCTCAGTTGTGTGTGTCAGTGCAGAGTAAGAAGAAAGCGGTTTTCAGTTCAGCGAGCGGGCAGGAGGAAGATGTAATTTTCTGTTGTGGCACCAAGGATGTAGAATGCCCGAGATCTTCCTTTTCATTGGGCAGTGAAAACATTTATTGCAGCAGGCTTTGAGGGTGGCTTTTAATTTGATCACATTGTACCGTATTGGGGCTGCATTGAAAGGTGGGTGCAGAAATAAATGCTAATTCTGCTTTTGTACAATAGGTTAATTCCCAAACACACACACACAGAGAGACACCATCCACCTTCAAGACAAGCAAAAGTATCAGTATTCAAGGACACATTCCAGCCTGGAAAAATGTGTGAAGCCATTGGTGTAGATGTAGAAAAGGTGTGTCCACTGGGGAGAGTCCACCCCAGGACTGAGGTTCCCCATCGCTGCCTCATATTGTTGATTTGTGCATTTGTAAAAAAAAAAAGTTGGATGTTTTGAATAGAATAGAGTTGATACTTGGAAACGAACAATACCTTCTTACGACAGTTTCACAGCTCTCTGCATCCTTGAGTGGCTGCAGGGTGAGCTTATTTGAGTTAGAATCTCATTGCGGATCTGCATTATGTGCTTATTTTCAGATATTCATGGGTAGCAAAGAGGAACTCACGTTGCCATGGGCGTAGCCAGGGGGGCAGGGGGGCAGCTGATTAAGAATTGACACAGGGTGTTTTTCAGATGTAACTCACTAGAACTCAGTTCCAGCAACTCTCAGATGGGTGCCATTGCCATTATAAGAGAACAAGAAAGGCACTGACGGTGAGCTCTGGCACCTCTTTTTCTAGAAAAATAGCACTGAATGGATGGATCTGTTAATTCGGTTCTCTCAGTTTCTACTTTTCCCAGCATTAAATTCAGTTATCCATATTTCTGTAGTGATTTATTATTTTGTAAAAATACATATGAGAATCAGTATTTTAGTGCAAATGTCTGGTACTAAACATATTTCTGTAGGCAGTTTTGACTATTGTACACATTTTTGCAAGCAATTTCCCCAATTATTTATTCAAGGCGTTTTTATATTGCTTCACCATTAGCATTTCTAATGGTATAGTGTGTTATATTTCACAAATATATTCATGGTTGTTCACACTTTCCCTTATTGTATAATTTTTTGAAAGCATTCGTTAGAGATCTGTATCTGAAAATTCTGATAACTGCACATTTTGAAGGGCGCCTGTGTTTCAGTTAATCCCCTTCCCCATTTGCTAATTTGGTAGATTTACCTTCAAATGTCAGCTGAATCAAATTTCCCCCTCTTTGTTACTCCAGATAGTATCTTCAGTTACAGTAGATCCACAGACATCTGTTCCCCCCTGAATTTTGAAATAAGAGACAAGCACTCTCGATAAACAACTGCCGGAACACCTTGAAACAAAGAACACCAGCCCTCAGTGCCAAAGGAAATGATGGAGAAATGTGAGATTTTGCGGAAGGGAGATGATGTGGGGAGATCATAAGCAAAGCCTTTATGAAATACAGTGGTACCTCTGGTTATGTACTTAATTTGTTCCGGAGGTCCGTTCTTAACCTGAAACTGTTCTTAACCTGAAGCACCACTTTAGCTAATGGGGCCTCCTGCTGCTGCTGCA